CATAGTTGCGTTTTAAATTGAAAGAAATCTTCATTAATGGTCAGAAGGTGTTGTCTGATTGTTTTGTTAGTTAGCAGGTAATTTATTACTGATCTGATACACAAACTTGGCACTGTCAAATGATGATTAGTGTTTAAAATTTATTTTTAGAAAAAAGGGAAGATAACCCATCATCAGCTGCTTACATGTCCCACCGATTTTTGAATTTTCGCCATCCCCCGAGGGGAAGAGAATAGTTAGAAAAAGGGGGATTTTGAAGAAGGCAAAAGGCAGGACCATTTCAACAAATTGTGTTAACTTATATTCGTTGCAATATCAATTTTCAGTTGTTAGCATAAACATTTAATGTGTCTTTCGACCAGACCTACCACACTTCAAAAAAAAAAAGCCGCCTACACCCTTTTTCACTAGAACCATAATACTGTAAAATATTTGATATAAATTACCCCCGAGGCATCGTATCTTCCATTTGAAAGGGCTGTGGAGGCAGATACATTTTTTACTCAAAATTATGGAATGTTACTTCCAGGTTATTTTATCCTTGCTTAGATGTCTTGAGGTTAGTGACTCCAACTGACCCATGCATGCCACGCTGAAAATTCTCTTGTGTACCCATAAAATAAGTCTGTTGGAGCCTTCAGACCTTGAAAACAGTCTAATCTGACCACGATGGATTCATGTGAAACACGTAATATGCATTTAGAGGCAAAAATATACCATCCTGAGCAGCAACGATCCACAACCTCCTGCCTATGGAATCAAAACATTAGACAAATTGGTGTACTGTGCGCATTCACAAATCTTTGCGAATCAAGTGTGCCTTTTGACTAAAGAAAATTTAGCATTGAAATGGTCAATCTCAATATCAACCTAGTATCTGCAGATAAAACCAATTGTTTTTTAAAAATACATTTTTGATGTGCTTTATTTTTCAAATATAATTTATAATTACTGTAAAGTGTGTGATATATTTGGTACCGTGAATACCATTTGCAAATTAGCTTGGGTTACACCCCTCTCAAATAAAAGTTCAGACTCGTAAGTCATATCTCATAATATTCTTTAAACAAAAGGTTGCGGCTAGCCGGCTACCCATCGGAATTTCCTTTCAGATCACAAAGTCGTAATATTACGCCTCGCTAAGTTTCATTGGCAACTGTATCTGGTTGTAGTATCAGTGTCCAACTTTAAACTGAAACCTTCACTACCAGACCCACCGAAACAATTTTTTTTCTTGACAGGGTCGTCTTGAAGTTGCTTTCGTTAAAGCACAATGGACACTTTATCTCCACCAATCCACAGTAATCACAAGTTACTTTGTCATTACGATAAGCATCAATAAATGGATACTGAGGATGTATTATCAAGTCACGCAAGCTGTGGTCTTGTTGCAACTTATACTTTGCCATCCATCTATTCCATGGTCGCACCCATATCTGTAAGATAATGAATACAGATAGAGTTTTCATAAAATCTAACGATCAAGGAGTGCGAAATTTAGGTCCATATCCCACCACAGCCACCAGTCGTAAATGAATTTGATTCCGGGTAGCATATCTTTTTTACCAATGACAATAAAAAGACATTTTGGATCAGTTGTACAAGCACCATTAGGATAGGATTTATCTGGGGGGAGCCAGTTATTTGTTTTCAGAAGCATGGACTTGGATGGTGGGGAATGGTCGGGACCGATCAGCGGTCATGTGAACCACCCTCGGTGGGAGTAGAGCTGCAATCCTCTCGCATCCTCTCTGGGATTGAAACCTGTGAAACTCCCAGGGTGATCAGACATGCGGTGGCGAGCGTATTTCTAGATGGCGAATTCAATTGAATTCTGGTTATTTGTTGCATGACCACTGGTGTTAAACTTTAGTTATCTATTCAACCTTTCACATTGAGTAATAGATTACCTGCTAATTAGGGAAACAATACCTTATAGCAATTGATTATTAATTCCTTACTGTCTTACACAAGTCAAGTCTGCAACTGCAAGTAGGCTTACTATCAATCAATCAATCAATTTTATTCGGTCACTCTGATACAAACAAAACACAAAACAATAACAAAGGGACAAACAAAATACAGAGGACCTGGAGGACGGGCATAACTTAATAAAAAAGTTAAATACGTACAAGTACGTGCCCGTCCCCCAAAAACAGGCAAAACACAATAAAACAAAAACACGATGTGACATCGGGCAATATCTTATAAATTCAAATTAAAATGTGAGACGTGTATGTGCTTTTCCTATACAGATATATGGATTAAAGAACACTCGCTGACAAAAAAATGATGATGTTGTGGGCCTACTTCAATTATATTGCAAAAATAACAGAGTGACAATTTTTTTTTACTAAAAAACAAGCTTGGTAAATGGATTGAATGTTCCATAGCAGTCTATGCACAAATCTTGAATTGGGGTATTGGGTTCTTTTGTCGTTTTCGGTTAGTTCACTTTAAAATCATTGTATCCGTTCCAATGCTTCCAACATTAATATCGAATTTCCACGAACGACCACCATTCAACCATTCCAACAGGTGCAGTGATCCCATCTTTTCTATGCTCTGTTTCATCATACACGACTAGATTCATAAAAGGATCGTCCACCATTTAACTTTAAATCCAATCTTTTATCCATAAACTTCTTTAATTTTAGTAGATGGGCTTTGCTCATGTTGATATTGCGCGATACAGATTACAGATACCGAAATATACAACGCGTGGCATTCACTAGTCTTTTCAAGCTGACACGTCCGCACCCGACGACGGTCGGAACGGAATGCTAATAACAGTAAGAATAACAGAAACTACTAATAACAGTAGTTTGTCATCTGCTTTCCAATGAAATTAGGGAGCTTGTGAATATTTAAAGAAATTGATAACGGCACACTATCACCACATTATCACTCACCATCAACGAAGTGCTGTCCGCAAACAGTGAAACACATGTAAGATGGCTTCTGGACTTGACACCAAGCAGTCCTGCCAATAGATGATATCCACATTGCGCGACGTTCCGGATCTTTTGAAATCAGTGGAATATAACTGAAGATCCATTTCGTTGTCTATACTATACGTACAGCCAACGGAACAATACGAAAGAACCATTTTCAACAGCCAAACAAAACGGAAACGTATAATCCGACTTGCAACTGACAGGAGCCAAATGGACGTTTTTGTTTTATTGCCGTCCAGTAACAAAGTCACGTGACCCGTGCAAGTCCTCTATATTCAGTAAACTATGCTTAATGACTTCCACTAGTGTTGGGACTCGGGACGTACTGTTGTTCATGAAAATCGTATATTGCGCTGCATCACAGTATCAACATTGGTTCGGAGATGAGCCAGGTTATTGTGTGTTTTGCAGTAATAATATAGAAGAAGATTGCATTCATTTATTCTATTCATGCACATGTCTACATTGGTGAGAGATTTTTGGGAATGGTGTGGTGTTCCAGCATATACCCCTGATCAAATAATAGCAAATGATATCAATTCTGAAGTTGAGTTAATTATAGTATTTTGTGCAAAATGTACCATATGCAGATATGGGAATATAGAAATTCAATCAAGTATGATGAACTAGTCAGAATGCATAGTGACATGAATGCATGAGGGCCGTTTTTAAATGTAAAAAATAGGATGATGAGATACATAGCCTACAGCTGTACAGAGATAAAGAACTGACTGAACTGAAGAATGAAAAAAGAAATTAACTGCTTATAAATGATCATATTCATATGGACTACCGTATAGTACTGGTATATAATTAATAAATCGATTAGGTATGTTGTAAAACCCACTTTTCCCATCTCAGCATCTACGTTTAGTATCAGTATTGGAAATAATTTGTACAAGTAGATTACATAGACAGAGAATATAGAGAATAGACTACCGTACGTCCGTACCTGAGACATGATAGGTATTTTTTCTGGTATTTGTCTAATTCTTTAAAATTTCTGTTTTTCATATCACCTAAATGCTAATAATGAATAAATTGATAATACATAATATACTGATATATGGTATAACTGCGAATAATGGAAAAACGTATTTCCAATAGCTGAATGGACACCGAATTACATGAATCTAGCATACATTTCACAAACTTGAACGCAAATTAAATTATGGTCTAGTATAGTTTAGTACCACAAGTACTTCCAGTGGGCGTAGCATAACTTTTGCAGAATTTTGCATATGTTATTCCTAACCCACACCTGACTATGCCATCCAAAAATTACGTCACTACGACATCACCAACACGTCATAGGGTTTGCCAAATTATAATTACGATCACCCGAAATGGCATCTGCGCCGCCGATAGCGAACTCGTTAAAGCCGGCGATCTCTCTCCTATCGTGATCGTTGTGACGAGAAAAATCGCTTACTCGATTTCGGGTGATCGTCTGCGCGTTTTGGGACAACCATTCACATACTTTGGTGGGCCTATTACGCCACTGTGATGTCGAAATGACGTACTTTTTCGGTGACGTAGTCAGGTGGGGATTGGTTAGGATTGACATATGCAAAAATTGATGAGCCAGGCCAACTAGAAGTGCATGTGGTACTAAACTATACCAGGCTCCTAGGCGATAGGATCCTAGGCTCAGATAGTTTGAGGATAGGAACTGCCAGAGAATGTCATTTCAGCAATCCAATATGCCATAATAAATTATGGCCTGTGGTTATCTGCAGGCAGGCTGGGTACTGTAATATACAAACTAACAAGGCTGCGAACTAATTCAATGAACAATCTAATCTGTTTTCATTACAAATTTGATTTTCGGTATTATTGAGTCATGTCCCCCAACCAGTCAATTAGTTTTTTTTATTTAATTTTCTTTCAATATTCTGATTACAGGATTGCCAGAATTTCAATATCTCTAATGCTAAAGTTCTGTATAGTGCCTCATTAAAATGAGGTATCTGTCCCCATATTATTAGCATTTTTTTTATGACCCTTGTATCATTACATATGGACAAATTTAATCTTATTATGTTATCATATACAGGATTTTTTTGTAATTGAGATGCAATATTTAAAATATTACTAATTTGATAACTGCAGCAAGATCATTGCAGAATTCCGGGAGAAGTCATGTTTTATTGAGTCGTTCTTAAATCCAACCCAACATGCCACTTCCAAACCAACTCCCAAGTAATTTTAGTGATGCAAAACAAGAAAAAATAGTTTTTAGGAATCGATATGTTTTGGATAAAAAATTGGGTGCAGGAAATTTCGGGACTGCTTACTTGATTTTTGACAATGAAGCACCAGGAGATGATAATAAAAAAGTGTTAAAACAAATATGTGTTGGAACGATAGACCCAGGAGAGACTGTGGACGCAATGCATGAAGCTAAACTATTGTCTCGTTTGCAGCATCGAAGTATTGTCCAGTTTCATGAAAGTTTTTTAGATGGTCAGTTTTTTTGTATTGTTACTGAATTTTGCGAAGGTGGGGATTTGGATGTGAGGTTGCAAGAATGTCGAAAACAGCAATCTACGATAAGTGAGGAACAAGTTGTCAAATGGCTGAAGCAACTTCTTCAAGCATTAGAGTATATGCATGGTAGAAGAATATTACATCGGGATCTCAAAACTAAGAATATATTTCTTAAAGGCAATAAAGTCAAAGTAGGAGACTTTGGAATATCTCGCATTCTTATGGGAACTTCAGACATGGCAAGCACTTTTGTTGGAACTCCTTATTATATGAGTCCAGAAGTTCTGAAACACGAGCATTACGATGAAAAATGTGATATTTGGTCCCTCGGATGTGTTTTATATGAAATGTGTTGCCTAAAACATGCCTTTGAAGGAAAAAGTCTGATGTCAGTAATGTACAAAATTGTCCAAGGTGACACACCAGAATTGTCAAAAGCATATTCCCAAGCGCTTAATATCATCTTGTGTAAAATGTTAGCTAGGGATGCTTCTCAACGTCAAACAGCAAAAGAAATACTTGGTTATAATATTTTTACATCTTCAAAATCCAATCTTACACCAAAAGAGCGAATGCGATTAAAAAAGCAAAAAGCCGCAGATGAACAATTTCGAAAGCATCAAGAGTTGGCGACAAGAAATTTCAGGGAAAACGAAAGAAGACATAAAGAATCATTGACTAAAAATTTTCATCACACTTCGGTAGAAGCAGCTATGCAAAATCGGAAAGAACCTGACAATTTGCGCACATTGTCTGAAGGTGACTCTTCTCCGAATAATGGTGTATTTCATGCAACTTCAAAAGGCCAAACTACGAAGGATGATAATGAAGATACTGGGACACTAGTTGTAGGGGGTAAATTTAATAATCCGAAAAAATTTTCATCTAAAATAAAAAGCAAGACTTTCAGTCCTTCTAAAAACTCCTCTATGAATGTAAATAAGTCTTCAACAATGCCAAGAGGTGGCATAGATGAGTTAAGAGTATCTGAAGGTAACAATCAGACTTTAACTAGCACTAGTGAAGAATTACCATTTGATGGTGAATCTACTGCCGAGTTAGCAGCATCTTTGATCAAGGATGGTTATATTCCAGAGGATGCTCTGCTAGCTGAAACTTATTACTCACTCCAGGAAGATTTCGAATCTGATCAAGATTTTGAGGTAACAATTATACGGTTATTACTTATCGATTTTAATCGGTAAGTATGTTGATAGGTATTTGTCTGAATGTCTGTTTGTTTGTCTGTTAGATGCACGCGATATCTCACGAAAGCGAGATTGAATCTGCTCCAGATTTTGCATATGTGCATTCATTATATGTCTTACCAGAAGCCTATTGATTTTGGATGAATTATGTCGTATAATTAGCGCGTTATTAATTAATTAGTGATGGAACACAAGGTGTCACTATGGAGTAAGAGCGCTGTTTTGGGGGATCCCCTAACTTCCGATCGATAAGTCTTCGGTCTGTGACCGATATTCTCGTTTATTATTTCAATATTCTCTAAGTAGTGTTTTTAAGAACTTAAAAATTTGATCAAGAATCAGAAAAAATTGTTGCTGTTTTTGAATGTTGCTTTTATTGCACCAAAACCATTATTTTGACATATTACTAGAATACCAACAGATGCTGAATCAAATTTTGTATTGTCCAATGTGAGGGATTATTAATTTTCATTATATCAAATTAGATTGAACAACCCTGGTTAGTGTTGTTCATCAGTTTTCATAGAAATATATATATTATATTATAAACTAGGTAAATATATTTTATATGAATATTCACAAATATTACTTTAAGAGTGATCTTGAACTTCCTGACGATCATGTTCATCTGAGTGACACAGAATATAAAGAGATGTTGGAATGCATGGAAGATGCTTTGGATATGGCAGGATCAGTGACAACAGTCCCTCATGCAAAATCGAAAACTCTATCAAAACCTAAAATAAATGGCAGTGATCAGCTTACATCAAAGTTAGATAATGCAAAAGGTGGGTTTTACTTTCATCTATGTTCTTATGGGAAAATCTTTCAATCATAACTCGCTGTTAACTTTGCTAAACTTATATTTCTTTTCTCATGTTGATTCACTTTCTGTTTCAAGTATATTCTGGATTTATCTGTTTGTTGTCAATATAATTTGAAGTTCTCCACTTATTCTTTATAAACATTCCAATTAAGTTCTCTTGCTCTGCATTTACCTTGCTGTATTTTCACCACTTATTATTAATAAGTATTGGTATTCATTACTGTTTTACTTTTTTTTCATGGATTCTTTAGAATCTGCATTATTACTCATCTACAATCTTATGTGTTGACTGTTGAGTGCTGTACATGTAGAAATTATTCACAAATTTAACCGTCATTCATGAGTAAATATTTCAAATTTATCCAATAATTACATAACTAATGATAAAGATTTTGAGTTTAATAAAATTTTAAATAAAAAATAGGAAAATTAGATTAAACAATTATTCATTGACTTCTCAAGTATGCAATTACGTTTAATTGGTACTGGCCTGGAATTTGACGTATGTTAATCAGTCAAGTTAGAAACTATAATATAAATGAATATTTACTATTATAAATTAAGATGAATGTGCAATTTATTCCCTTAGGTGGTTCAATTTATCTCATATAAACTCAGTGAGTCTCAGTCAATATAATCTTTTTACAATTTCTATTATTTACCTTGTTGAAATGTAAACACATTAAACTTCAAATATTCTTCATACGAGTCGAACAACACAAATTTGTATTTTCCTTCATTTAAAGTATGCTTTCCTTATCTTTTTAGAACCGCCTTCAGCATTGGTGAAAAATGTAAGGGATACACAAATCAACAACATAAAGGAATCTTGCATTTATTCAATGGGTGAAGGGGTGTTTGATGAAGCTTATTCTTATTTGCGAAGTGTTTGGTCGAATCATGTGTTGCCTGTAGCTGCGGATTACAAGTCCGTCATGACAAAACTGAACAAAATAGTAAATGATGACAATTTGTGTTTCAAGGTATTCCTATAGTTCACAAATTCAATTTTTATTTGCAACCAATCTTGTTTCATGCAACAGGAAAAGTTCTATGAACCTGAAACATTACACTATACGGTGGCCAACTGAACTCTAGGACTGACCATAAACACCTATATGTAAAAGCAGTTTTATAGATGTTTCATTTGCTACGTAAATACTTACCGGTAATTTAAAAAGTAAAAATTAATTCAAAGTTTGGTCATATTATGAAGATCTGGTATGAAAAGTCATAAAATGTTTGCTAAATTTATTGTTTCATCAATGAAGCCACAACGATTATATTTTTATGATGTTATAATTGACACAAACCATAATCACAGTCGGATATTGCAGTATTATTGACTGTAAAAGTAAAAGGTCCTGGCACAGTAAACTAGCGGTGAATAACTTATTGCACATGTTGGCTCAGAACAAAAGGTTTACAAATGTTGACGTATAGCATCAAGTTTTTAATAAATATATTTTTCAGTGTAGAAAAGCAGACTTAGTATTAGGTATATTAATTATTTTAGCAGTAGCAGATTCAATATATAATTCATTAATCATTATATAAGCACATTTTATTAAGATATGTAATAATGCTTCTTGTTTGATAGATCGCTACAAAAGTTTTTCTATTCAATATTTTCTAATTGTTAACTTTTACCATTTCAGCTGGAGCAGCTTATCTACCTGGAAAATGAAAAAGAACAAGGTTTTTGAAGTTTACAAGCTGCGTCTAAATTGTTACTATATTTTTGTTTTTTATTAAAATTATTCCGAGTTTGAATAAGATTTCAGGGAGATTGCAGAATTTACTTATATTCATAACTATCAAATAAGTATTTTAATTTGATTGGTTGTTATGCAGAGAAATCATGAAGGAAATCAAATTTGATTTTATAAAATCTGGTATATGTGTGGTATGGACAGTATGGTATGTTATGATTTTATTTTTGCAAATAGCAATTTCATTTGTTTTCGTTCTCCCAAATTGTTTAAATTCGAACTTCGTTTCAAGCAAAACTATTTACATTGGAATTGAAAATATACATTCTGATAGCTAATAGAATTCTATTTGTTGTGAATCATTCACTAACCATGTGTAAACAAGGATATTCAAATTTTTCAATATTCAATTTTTTTTGTGAAGTCATTATCGTTCCTGTAAAATTGATAAATAACTGGATTCATTCAGAATATTTTAAATTGAAGAATTCTAACATAACAGCCAAACTATTGTGACAAAGACATCTGTAGTTATAACCTGAGCTAGCAAAATTACTTTTTGTACTCACAGTATGGAATAAAATTGGGATTATTTTTGTATGACTTGAACACTGAAAGTGTATTTGTAAACTATATTGCCTTAAAATATATATAGTTTCCTGATGCCTTTGTATATTTATTTACCCAATATGTGCCTTCTTTCAAAGTATCTGTGTATAAGACCGAAATACAGATTTTTATAATTTACCTATTATTTTTTTTATACTTTATTTTATCATTGTCATCTTTGCAACATGCTCTCCATAAGTCTCTTGTGTTGCTAGTAATGGTGCTTAAGCTTGAACTATCAAATGTTTTATTCCTAGCCATAGTGAATTTGCAACCTGTATAAGGTTTATTCTTACCCTATGTCTTTATAGCATATTTATATCAACTATATTGTGTGTTTTATACTGTCGCGATTGTAAAGCTGATGATTGATAATTTGTACATATTGGGTTTTCTTGAGACACTTCAGTATTACATGGGAGTGGGAGAGTATTGTTAGAATCATTCAATGTAAATTCCTTGTCAAAAACTAGTATCGATTGTGTGTGATAGTTGAAACTTGATTCAGGCTGTGCTTCATTTCTTTACCATTCTTGGCAGGTCAGATTTAAAAAACATTTGACAAATGGTGTTTTCTTTAGGTGTTGGCTTATATTGATAGACAGTTATCTGTGTGGGTAACACTGGCCTAATGAAGTCACATTTAAGCAATAATTATCACTCTTATCAAATAACTGTCATAAATTTTGAATGTAATACCAATTCCTGGAAAAAACATTTTATACGACAAAAATACAATTTAAAAACACTTGAATCAGTCTTTTTATGTTCATAGTATAAAATCACGTTATATGTATGTTCAATTGAAAATTATATAAAATTATTCCAACTGTCGATATCTTTCATAATATTTCATTTGCATTAGACTCACACTGTAATGAACATTCATGGCAGTCTGTGTTTTTTCTGTTTTACCGATGAAATATCTGCTTATTTGCAAATTCGATATTTAATTTTAGCCCTCACTGGTACGAATTCAAATAAATAGTGAAATATAATTATTCACAGTATTATTATAATATGTTTGATGGTGACTTTTGTCTGTGCAAAATGACAGAAAAGTGCATAGCCCAGCGGTTCTCAAACTTTTTGTTTGTGCGGCACCAAATTATCAGGGAAAAAAACTCATGGTGCAATTACCTGGAAAAAGGTGCTTTTGAATAAAAATTCAATTATGTGATCGTTAATGTCAACTCTTCTTCCTCATCTCTGCCTGATTTTCGTTTGAAATGCTAAAAAAATCACACATGTTCGCTGAACTCGGTTCAGCAGATAAATAAACTGCATCTCGCGAAATTGCAGCAAGTACTGTCCACCTCTATTGTTACATAGCAACAGTGGCAGGCACTTCATTCCAGAAATGAATTTATTGAATAATAGACACAGCATTTACAATAAGAAACAATAAAACATTCATGCTAAACACAATATGAAACATACCACAATTTTGTTAATTTTCGCGGTGCAATTAGCAACTCGGCACACCGTTTAAGGAACCTCTGGCATAGCCTATATGAGGACTTGACTAAATGATTTAACCTCATCATCTTCTCATTTTGATAGTATTTGCCATTTTGAACTTTATTAGTTCCCCCTGTCTACAGGCTTGTCGACATCTCTGTTCAGGAAAAGGCACGGTAGAACCATCACAATAAATTTGGAATTTCCAGATATATTCTATTTGGTACAAATTTACAAACCTGTCATCGCAAGATTAATACTATTGCCTGTTTCATCAACTTTTTATTCCAATATTTTGTCCTTGATTATATTATTCTCTGCACTGTTTATAATAATATTAGTACGTACTGTATATTTTAATGTGATGTTCTTGTCAAATTCATTGTGAAGGTGATTTTCTACTTTATTTTATCTCTGTAAATTGAACTGATAATTGTTTCATAATTTCATATATTATTATACATAGAATAATAGTTTTTATTTGTTTTGTAGATATATTCCCAGATATATAGAAAGTATGTTAATCTATTTGTATAACTGCAACTGCTGCTAAAAATATTTATCTTGGCATTTGAAGCAAAATTTTGAATCAATGAATCAGATCTTCAATACAACAGAATGGATGGAAATCCAAACAGCGAAGATGTTGTGAACAAGTTCAAGTCTGATGGTACGTACATTATAGGGAAACAGAAAATTTGAAATTGATGCTGTTTTGAAAAGATGTTTATTAAGAGTATTGATGTCCCAAATTATATTTTCTGCCAATATTTGCTTTTCCTTCGGAGAACAAGTTATACAGAGTGTCCCTAAAAACAGAACCCATGTTATTTGGAACATTTTTTAGAAATAACAGCGAAACAAGTTTTAATCAAATGGGAGATAATTATGTGCAAGAGGATTGCTGGACTCCTTGCCGCCGTAAGGTGGTTCTCCTAATCACTGGTCGGTTACGGCTTCCTCTATCAACAAATCCATGTATCTGAAAACCAATATCTGGCTTACTCATCCAATACCTGACATCGGCTTTCAACCAGATGAGAGGCCGTGGTTCATCATATGATCAAGCCATCTTATAGGTTTCCTCTCCCTCTGGATAACTATGTAAATACTATCCTAATTAAATTTCTGGGCAAAGCGCCCTAGATCATACACAAGTGTTAAATAAAATATCTTCATTTTTGTAAAAATAATTGAGAGATTTATGGGTTCTGTTTTTTAAGTATTTTATATTGTCGAGTTATTTGGTATGCAATGATCTCTCATGTTACATGTTATTCACAGTAACCTTTTTTTTCTCTCGCTTTTTTAGTTAAAAATGTCTCAAATTTGTCTCGAATTTGTTAATTATAATAGCTTTTGTGGGATGCAAGGATTTCTTGAAAATATCTCTATATAATTAAATACTGATATATCATACGGTAATTTTCAAGGTATATTAAATCCATTTCTGGATGACAATTTTGATGTGCAATCATACACAACTGAAGTGATCCAAAGTGCTGCTATATCTCAACGTCTTGCCCAACTCGTGGATGGAATAAGTATCCTTGACAAAGAGCTACAATCACAGGTCTTAATGTCTTATAGTGATGTTTAACGTTCGACGCCCAATCAAGCCTGAGTACTGATTTTTGAGTAACTGATAAATACCGATATAGTCTACTTGAGATGAAGCGACTGATATTTTGTTTTTGACTACAACCATATGATTTTTAAGTCATATTTGGTACATTCAGAATAGGAATAATTTAGAATATTAATATTTGGCTAGATCTTAATAAATCTACGGTTAGGGTTGTGCCTCAATAATGATTAGAACTTAGAATCTGTTGTGGGTTAATTATTTCACAGCTAAGAAAATTCCTTTGTTATCTTCTTTATACATAAGTATCATTGCTTTCATTGTTAAAGAAGTTTATTTCCTAGTACTGTAGTCAGGTATTTTGGAATTGCTTTTTTTGTCTCGAAGTATTTAATGGCCTACCCACTATCATTCTGCTGTTCTAGACTAGAGCCACCCGATACAGGGTTTGGATATGGCTGAGATATGATATTGCTAACATAATTAGCAATTAATATATAAGTAATTCATAATATATAATATTTGTAATTTAGCTAATGCTTAATTTTAAGATTGCGACAAGGCATGAAGATCTTTTGGCTCAAGCAACTGGTATTGAATCTTTGGAAGGAGTTTTGAATATGATGCAAACTAGGATCCTATCTTTGCAATCAGCTGTTGACAGGTATAAAAAGCAAAAGATTTTAGGAGGACTATGCAATATGCAATTATTTATAGTCAGCTTCGTACTTACAACAATAATTCGAAAGTAGGGTCAAAACAGGTTGGTCAGAGCAGAAAATTTACCCTTTCAAATACATTCTATAATGATGTTTTCAAGGATAGAACTAAAATTAATTTTCTGTTTTCCTAGATTAGTTCTGTTTTCATAGATCAGTAGATTATAGTTTTTTTACCTGTCAGATGTAAAATGCTCAAATTTACAATTTTCAGCAAGAGGACTCAATTTTTTTCTAAAATAGAAAACACAGAATATCAAAATTTTAAAATGTACTCGAATATTCAATTAATTTCTTTAGACATTGATGTATTGAATTTTGAAAAATTTAATGTCAAATTAATTAAATAGAATTTATCCATAATGTTGTTATAATATTATTTTTACAGGATCAGAGGTAAAGTTGTTGAACCGTACAATAAAATTCGTACCAGGACTTTGCAACTTGGAAGATTGCAGGTAAGCATTCTGAATATTCTTATAATTGTATTTCATCTTGTAGCAATCGCCATACATAACATTTAAGCAATCCATGTAACTTGATTAACTTTTTGAATCAGAACTTGTGTTTTTTTGCATCAGTCTGTGCGGTCGACTCGGGGGTTTGGCGCATTGTGCTATGCGATAGGAATACGCTCGCCACTGCACCTCTGATTACCCTGCGTGGATTCGCAGGTCCGAATCCCACGTGGGGTTATTTATGTGGGCTGGGTTAATTATGAATTGCTGGGCTCCTCACCACTGGTCGGTTACGGCATCCTCCACCATAAAGTCCAGGCTTCCGAAAACGAATACCTGGCTAACCAATCCCATCCCCGACATGGACTGATAACTGGACGAGAGGCCATGGTTCGCCATATGATTAAATCGTCTTATCGTTTTACCTTTCCCCCGAGATGAATATGTAAATCCTATCCTATCCAGTCTCACTGATCGGACTCCCAACCCCAAACGATTAAAGAACTATCTCTTACACCAGGTTTAAATATATATTTTTTCTCTGGATTAAGAAATTTGCCACAGCTCCAACTCCTGACTTAGGGATAATAACATTTTGACGAGCCTTTTTTATTGCAGTTATATATTTTGATTCCCATCTGGCATTCTGAAACTCCCTGACTTGGGACTTTTAAAAATTTTAATGATTCACAGTGAAAAATATGAAAATGCAACTTCGACTTGTCACACATAAATTAAGCAAAAATGGCCCTAACTAATATTTATTATATTAATCTTAGGCATCCACATGATAGCACTAGAGAGCAATAATATTTTTGTTTCACAATCTTGCAGGAATTTCATTTTTTGTAATTTCCTATTTTCAGGCTGCATGCGACCTTCTTCGAAGAATAATCAGAATATTATATTTATCGAAACGATTGCAAGCTCAGTTACAAGGTGGAATTCGAGAAATCACAAAAGCTGCTCAGAGTCTGAATGAATTGGGTATGTTTATTACGTCATGTTGTTGGTGATTTTAAATTTCCAAAATTCAACCATGATTAAAAATTGAGTTCATATATATAAAATATAATGCAATTATAATAACTAATGCTTTATTAAATTGATTTTTTTTTTCAATATGGTTTCGATCATAGGAAGGCTGGAGATTTAGGAGCCTGCAAGTGGGGACTTTTGCCACTTGGGAGATATGCTCTTAGCACAGCGGTTCCCAAACATTTTGTTCGTGTGGCGCCAAATTATCAGGCAAAAAACCCACAGCGCACTTACACAAAAAAAATATGAAGTATGTAAACAACTCGGTCTAAGGAGTAAAGGCAAAAGTTCAACCCTTCTTCTTCATCTCTACTTGATTTTCCTTTGAAATGCTCGGTTCAGCCGATAAATAAACTGCAGTGTGCGAAATTGCAGCAAGTAGTGTCTATCTCTATTGTCACTGGTCATCTGTGGCTTCCTCCACCATCAAGTCCATGCGTTTTAGTCCATTTATTTTGTGACTTGCATCCTTACAAATGAAACACCCTAATGTAGTGTGGAGTCAAAATTATTATCGTTTTCTTGAAATTAACAAATTATATTTCATTTTCATGTTATGCTATTTTACGCATTGTAATATAAGTGAGTCTATTTCGCTATAAATTAAAATATGCCAAATACTAATGAAAAAATAACAAATTTTAACAAAAAAATCTGCGAGGACATTTTTCAAGGTAGCATTGTTTAATCTAAATTGTACCTGGTTGAATGGTGAATTTAATTTTGAGTTTAATTCATCCATTGATCATTTTTTCACTATTTTATGTGTTATGACATTCATTTTGGGCTTATTGTTTCTTCGACATTCGATTTTTCAAATTCCCAAATATAATTGGTATTATGTTTCTCATTTTATTTCAGAGAATATGAAAACATATTAAATGGAAGTTACAATTGAATATTGATAATTGGGTACTCTCGTAGTGTGTGTACCGGCTTAGGGTTAGGCCATAATTTCATTACGATTTTCCTCATTTTAATATTAATACGAGTTTCGGGGACTGTCTGTGTTAGCCAATTGAATATACCCTCTGCCCATTGGTTTCATTCCCTTTACGCAACTTGATGTAAAGTAGGCAAACAAAATTAGTAACCTCCATTTGGTATACACACTTCCGGAGCGCCGATAATTGATTATTTATACTGAAATTTGGAATAAAATTAAATATGTTTCATAATTGGCATTGTTGATTATAAGGGATTTAAATAAGCACAAATCAAGTTTGAAAGGTAATTTTAAATTAATTTCACACCTTCTGGTAAGAAGGATTTAAATTAAGGATTAAATTAGGATTTGACTAAAAAAGATATTAATTAAAGTTGTCCATGTCCAAATTCTAATTAACATTTCTGTCATAACCAGACATTCTAAATTTTTTAAATTCATAATTGAGTTAAATGATAATCCTATCTTGAATCAACTACAGTAGATCATGTTGTGTAAATATTAGGGCTGGGAATGGTTAACCGGTTAACCGATTTCATATGGTTAACGGTTATGATTTATTTTAACCGTTAACTGACATCTCAGGTACAAATCATCTTTATACCGTACAATTTCGTCAAATATGATTACGTCAGGGCAAATTTTTTTTTTGCGGCGTTTAATTCAAAAAAATATTACTAACTGTGTGGGTAAGGAATCAATAAATGTAAAAAATAATGGAAGCACCAAGGTTGCTAATAATGAAAATTTACAATGATGAATTCAGAATCAGTTTTCGGTCGATTTCGAAATATATTGTTCACGATTTCATTGCAAAATCGGATATTCAATGTCATACAATAAGTGTGCAGTTGATGCCGTTTTTCTTTATGGTATATATCTCGAAGTAGAATTCGCACATAGAACACTCAAAATTTGTCACATAAATGACGTTTAACAACGGAATCGGGTTTTCTAAAATATTTCCACATGCCCGAACCACGCTGCCTATATTTTGCAGCATAGGAATCATGAAACTATCTCGATTCGTGAATAATTTTAAGCGATACCGGGATAAGAACATGTGAAATTGCTTTATAACCATTGTGACGTAACAAGCTGAAATTATAATTATTACGTCAAACGTCACGTGGCGGTTAACCGGTTAATTTTACCCGGTGAACGGTCAAAGTGTTTTTCCTAAAATTCCCAGCCCTAGTAAATATATTTGAGTCATTCTCTACGCTGAAAACTGTGCGCGAATTTTCTTTGTTTTTATGATTTTTTATAATTACACCTGTGACGAAATGGCCAATTTTGTTGTTTACTGTCTGGGGCAAATTAGCTATTTATAATTGTATTACGTATTTCCCAAGAGGATAACAGATAGTCTTTGAAAGGAAACTGTTTTGTTTCATTCACCGAATGCTGACAAAAAGATGAAATATCAACGTCTGAGTAGATTTTTGAATAATATGAAACTTGTAACCACTGTCACTATGTTCTTTGGGCCAGTTTTTGACAATTTTTAAATTGTTGATTTGATATTTAAATAATATTGAGGATTAACATTTTTGAAGGTTCAGGTTTTTATATACCAACTGTATGGATAACCATGGATAAATTCAGATGTGTGTGGTCCAACTCTTTTATTTTCTTGTTCCACAGTTCCTGCATGACTCTCAAGTCTCAGTATTATTTCACTCGTGTCTCGTATATTTAATCTAAAAAATGGCCCCTCATTTGAAAGAGATCAAATATATTTTTTTCAGATAAATTATATCGAGATTTATGGGTTTACATGGTGCGATGTTTGTTTGTTTACATCTTTGTTTCCAAAGTCATGGATGTGTTGATTTGCCACAATTCTGCAAAATACAGAATCTGTCATTTCTGAACAATTGCATTATGCGTAACATAGCAGAACAAATTGAAAGTATTTGATGGCGTAGGTTATCCCATAGTATTTACAGGAGAGATGAGCCTGATTTAAATTTAGTTATAAACTAATGATGTTGTCTTTTTGTTGGTTATCTAATATTCCCACGAGAAATATTTATTTTACGTAATGTGTCAGGGGCCGCACTTTGGTGACAATATTTTTCACGATTAAACGATTATACCGAAATCCAGACATTAAGCTCATTAAATATTCAGGTAGATTGTCTGGACTTGATTTGATTGAAATTGGGATGAAAATCTAAAGATACTGGTGAGACGCTTTTGGCGAAAACATGCAGTTTTTTGGTTACTGTCTCACTATTGGTTTATTTTTCTGAAACCATAGTCTTGTCTTTCATCTTAAACTTCATTTTTTGGCATCACAGTTTTCTATGATTAGTTTAAAAATGCTTTCCACCGTTTGACCAACTCCGGTTACTAATCAATTATGCACGAAACATTATTATGATTATGTTGCATACTGTTGGAGACCGATTTTATCGTATTATAAACAACCATTTTTTTATTTTGAAAATCTACTTCGCTATCCCTTCTAATACCAATTTATAAAATACCCTTTTACTCTCCCCACATATAACCTCTGCTCCATAGTAATATTATTAATAAATTTCTTACTAGACAAATTTTTCAATGTTGACATTTATTGTAAAAGTTGACTCAAGTGTTGTTGACTTCAAATAAGAATTGAGGTTGTGCGAAAGGGCAAAGAATCAGAACGAAAAATAACATAAAAATCATGAACAATAATAAAAAAAGAACAGTAGGATGATTCTTAAGTCAGAGTCAGCTCAGCTCCTCTAAAATACTAAAACATACTTTGCATGAATTGCTTTTCAAGATATGAAAAACTAAATTCCTTGCAATAATATAAATTCATCAAATGGATATATTTTTGTGAGTCTATGTCTATTCAAAATTGTCTGGTAATTACAAGAATGATAATTTCAAGACATTTAAAATTGGTCACATATAGATTTCTAAATTTTCAATAAATATTTTTAAATTACTTGAATTTCAACAGTGTTAATTAAAGATATATTAAACTGACACATAAAATATTGTACAAGCAATAAATAACTGAAATATCTTGTACTTTTTGTTGTTTTCATCAATATAATGCAGCAGTTTTTGAAGCGATTCTTGGGAAAAGGCGCGATAAAAATAAAATTTAGAACTTGAACATTATGACTTGAACATTGCATAAACTAATAAAATTAAATCAAACTCCTAATGAATTAAACATTTATGATTAATAGTCACTGTGTTATTATTCCCTGGTTTCTATTACCACAAGGATTCAGTCCCTTATGTTGACGAGATGTTATTTCACACGAAATAATAAATATCACTCAATTATTCATGCATAAGAAATTTGTTGTTTTTAAGAAAGATCTCGCAGTGTTTTGCGATAACTGTTGACTGCATATTCATAATTTTGTTACACTACAGAATATTGCAAGTTTTTGTGCCATTCTATTTTACAAAATCCGCTGTATGTGATGTGCTAATTATAACTCTGCTGCGAGTGATGCAATGGTTGTGCTGCAACTTAAAACATCCATAGATCTCGCGGAAAGCGACCTTGTTCGACTATGCGAAGGAGGTAAAAGCAATTCATTATTTGGAACTGCTTCGTCAATACAGTCATCAAGTCCATCTTGGGAAACATGTGGTGTCTCACAGGTGACGGCTTCCCATCGTATCAATGGTGCTTTCACCCGATAACCCTTGCGCTGTATCTCGTCGTTATGTGTACTATTGGTTGCATCGTTGATGTTATCACAGCCATTTGTTGCCATCTTCTGCAGCTCTACATTTAGTTTTTTTGCACTTTCACTCTTCTGCCAACCTATGAAAAGTTAAGTTACCATTTTTAATGGAAATTACTTAGTGGAAAACATATGTCATCAATTGTGTAAGTTTCTTGTATAATAATGTGACATAGAGGGTAATCTAAAAAAACGAAACCCGGAAGTTTCTTAGTTACCGTACAAGAATGAAGAAAAAATATTCAACACTGGAACTTTTTTTATGTATGAATATACCCAAAAGTTTCATTAACGTAGATCGCTTTGCCAAAAATAATGTTCTCTCTAGAATATGTCCCAAATGACCTTGGTCCCGTCTTTTTATGCTTCTCTCTCTCTCTACAAAACGGAATATCAAGCAGATTGAAAATCCATCACTGAGCAGCAGACTCCAAAGACCAATATTAGGTCCACGTTATAGGTATGGTCTGTCTTATCGAACCTGGTAGATTCTTGAGCCTATGTGTCTGATTATTCAAAGTGAAAAAACACCTCAGAAAATTGAAAAATTAATCAATAAAAAATCAAAATACTGTTACCTGTCGTAATGACTGATCGCTTCGTAGTTTCATGTTTTCCTTTAAAATTATCTTCACTGTCCCAACATATGAAACAAGAAGTAAATCGGTTTTGGTTACCCCCTCCTGCATCGCTTAAACATGATGGAAAAAATGTCTTCAGAAACTCCAGTCTTATTTTTTCTCGCGAGAATATATACAAAGCTGGGTTGAGAATGCAAGACAAAGCTGCAATTGCAAGCATCCAGTTAAACATCCAAACGGGATAGCATTGTGTTGTGAAAAACGGGGGATTGTATGAATTTAAGTTTGTTGTTGCATTGAAGAGGTCATCTATATCAACGGAATAAGAATCTCCTATGTATATTGACATTGCGATAGATAGTTTACTCATGTAGTATGGTGTCCAACAAAATAAAAATGTGAAAACTATAAAAAATGTCATCTTTCGCAGATGTCTTATTTTTTTCTTTCGTTCTTTGATCTTCCTAGCAGCCATTCTTTTGATAGCAAGTACAACTGTTACTGACATTGCCACTGATGCAAAATCAGTTTTCGCTTTTGATTTATCGTGTTTGTTGACTTTGGGGGTATTTGAAGATTTGGGGTTTTCATCTTGTTTGTTGGGGTATTTGTCTTGTTTGGGAGTGTATTCCTCTTGTTTGCTACAGGGTGTAACAAATAATGAATCCTCAAGAGAATCTTGCTTCTTCTTTTTCTTTCTTTCAGCCAAAAAAGTTTTGCGTTTTATTTTTGAGTTACTTTTGCTCTGGATTGTAGGAGTATGCTCACGTTCATATTTTGTCTGGGATTCATCTCCTCTGCAAAATGATTTCAGCTTACTCTTTTCGTTCATAGTGCGTTGCGGTGAGTTATTTTGAGTTCCACAGCACAAGTTCCTCCCACAGAATCTCATGTTTGTCCCATCTTTTTGTGTATTGTTCTGCTTTGGTGATCCTTGCATATATCTTAAAATAAAAATTGAATTAAAAAATTTTAGATGCTTTTTTACTTTGTGTATATACATCAAAGTAAAGCATCATTATATTGTTTGCAAAACACTGTGTTTTCGTTAGCTTGAATGGATTGTTTTTCTTTTAAGGAATTTTATATCGATTTTATCATTGTAGCATATGCTCTATTTACAGGTGGTTTTCATCTTTTTATTGTAATCTAAGTTACTTTTGCTGAGTTTTTTTTTCATTTACAATAGAGAGATAACAGAAATATTGTAACTTTTTGCAAAGCAATCTGCTTATTTGTTATTTTCTTGTCTTTTGCTTCTACCTTGTTTTTGTGTTTTATTGACGTCAGAATAATGAATTTTTGGCTCGCAAGTGGGCTGTTACAAACATGCATTATTTACAGTGGATTAGTTTCGTTTTCGTTGACGTAATTGTTGAAAATGACCACTAACAGGTTTTTGTGCTTTTAAGTCCATCTGTGCATGAACGTCAACAGAAAATGTATGAACTTTTGGTTGTGTTGTTATTCTAGTATACCTCAAACGGTTAACAAATAAAAATTCAACTGTCCATTCTGATTTGTACCATTCAATCTTTTATCTTATTGATGTTTCCGATTGTCTTTAAATCGTCTTTAATAAGCCATTAACCTCAATGCTTGAATCACAAAACAACTCTTCTTATAAATATTGTTTTATGTATGAAAATTTGGTACTCCCGTAGTGTGTGTACCAGGTTGCGGTTAGGCCATAATTTCATTTCGATTTTTCCTATTTTAGTTCTATTACAAGTCCGGGGACTGTCTGTTTAAGCCAAGTGATTATACCCCCTGCCCATAGGTTTGAGTCCCTTCACATAACTGGGCGAACAAAATTAGTTACTTCCATATTCATACACACACTTCTAGAGGACCGAAAATTTGATATCTATTAGCAATCAGGCGGGCATTATTTTTACAATATTTTTTTTTTGTCTATAATTTGAACGCAGACACAGAAATGACATTGAGTACTCACTTTTTACTTCTGCGTTGAACTGAACACAAGATCCTTCCATAGATTATGATAATGGTTAAAATAGCGGCAACAAATATTGGAATTTCGAATATCAGTTGAATCGTGCAAGACTTAATTGTCATGCCATTACATGGGTGACACTTCAAACAATTATTTTCAGTTTGTGTCTTCAGATATTGAATCCTGGTTTCATTCTCTAATTTTGCTTTAATATATGTAGAGATCTTTTCTTCTTTCCTCACCTGAGTAATGCTTCTTTCATCAATGGTTAATAAGTTAGGTAGAATTGTAACTGCAAGCCCAAGAGTTGATATACACCATGTTATACCAATGGCAATAATGGCTTTTGAATGAGTGAAAAATCTCTTCGATGGTTTTAAAGACACATCTCCTCTGTCAAGGCTGACAAGTAGAGTTCCTAATGCTGTTGCAACTGTCCCGAATATGATGATACAATTTCTTGCTATCTCCATCACTCTCGGGTCGTTTGATTTTTCATCACATGATTTTCCTGTTAATGCTGTGATCAGAACAACAGGCAGAACCAGTCCACTGAATATTAGATCCACCAATGAGAGGTTGATCTATAAATAACAGGAAAAATCTTAATAATATGTATAACAGAATTGTGAATTCCAATCTCTTCACTTTCTATTCTTATGGGAAAAGGAGACAACAATTTTATCACTAATACACTTATTCTGATTTAATGGTACTCCCTAAGTATGTGAACCAAGATGGCGGACACCGGAACATAGTATATATACCAGGTTGGGGTTAGGATATAATTCCAAGTACAAATACATGAGTCACTTGGCTAGTCCCCGAACTTGTAATAGAACTAAATAAGGAAAATAGGAATAAAATTATGGCCTAACCTTAACCTGGTACACATACTACATTCCGGTATCTGCCATCTTGGTTCACATACTCCGGGAGTACCGATTTATCTATATTGATCTCATCAAATCATCATGTTTTACCACCTTGCATTTCAGGGATCACTTGTTACTCTACTTTTGATTTTATTGATACTTAATACGATTTTGCAACTTTGCCTTGAGTAAATAAATATTTATATAATGTGAAGACATAATCAAATTATTCAATGGGATTTAGCTGGATAATTTGCCAAAGTCGATGTTTACTGTTTCATATCTAGAGTCGTGTAGATAAACGTTGCTTTTTTATTTTCAACAAAATTTAAATATGGCCCATTTTTGGATCTTTTAGTCTACTGGAAATTACACACAATGAAAATTTTTTTATGTGAAAAAAAAATTCCTGAAATTAAAAATTTATATGGATAACTAATTTTACATGAAATAGAAACGATTTAAAAGATCCCGACCATCTGTATCAAAAACTTTACAACACATTTGATGATTCAATCTCTTTTAAAATTTTACCCACCGTGAAGAAGTCGCTTGCTGTACGTAGTAAAGACTTTCGAACACAGAAAAGTAGCAAAACAGCACCATTGCACAGCAGACCACATATAGATTCTAATCCTAATACTACTAACGGAAGATAGTAGTATATGGACTGAGCCACTGGGTCTGCTTCTTGTTGAAAATTAACCATTGTTGTGTTTGAAATATTTGCTATCAATGTTGGGTACGAGATAGGTGGTATGTGCAGAAGATCTTTATCAAACGCCATGGGATTTTAAAAACAAATGCCTCACAGATGCAGCACTCTTCATTGTGAATGAGTAAAAATACTTCACTATATTTATTTATAGCTTGAAATAACCCTTTGATAGAATGAAACCCAATTAAACATTCATAATAAAATTGTATTAACTATAAACATATATAAAAGAAAAGACACTAATGGCAAAACAAAATAATCCTTAATTAAAGTATAGCAAGTTTAATAATAGTGGCGAACCCAATATCTTCTTTATTATATTCAAACAATATTCATGTCTTCAATTTTAATGGAAATTTGCTGCCTAGTTGAAAACTACTGTTCTAATGATTCTGTATTCAAGAATACTACCTTGCAATTAAATTTGATTCATTATATTTAAAGTAGATCTATTTCGCATTGGAATCAGGATATCTGCAAAAAATTGAACGTTATTCATGATTTCAATGCAAGAACGACAATTTTTACCAAAAAATATATTATCAGAATTAATGAAATCCACCTTTTCTAAATAGCACTAATTGCAACTTCATTAAGTTAAAACTTATGGACTAATTATTAACTGAGAGACTGTGATCTCTCACTGATGGTGGCAATAGGCCTGTTTCTTTTACTCAATATTATCTTTAATAAAATGATTAAATGACACAAGCAATTCTCATCAACCTTATACTGAATATTCAAATGATTCTACAGATCTAGTTGCATACGAATAGTCATTTTAGTCTGCAGGTAGTCAGTAATAGCTTTCCTTAAATCTTTTTCAAATCTTATGATATAAAACCATTCCACAATCTTAGTGTTTATAGTTAATTTCTCATTATGCTGAGGTGACGTCAAATTGTCTGGTCTGCTTATCCCCTAGGCTATTTACACCAAACTTTATATGCATGGTGCTAATCCACTTATCCTATATATCGTGTTGTCGTTGAGCCATAATACATCAACATTAATTGCTTTCGGCATATTGTGGCTTTTTTGTTAATAACACTGTGGCATTTAAATTAGTGATATTTTTTGCAGTACACAAATAGTGTAACATTCAAGGTTTTTCTTTATAATTATGAATTATTTTCGTTCAATTTTTCCAAGTTATAATATTTGATTCTGATTTCACTAAAAAGCAGTCATTTGATGAATTAATGTACATTTCTATCAAAGCATGGGGATGCCATCTGAAATATCTGGATTAAATTACATCTCCCTCAGACTTGTATCTTGTGGCCACCGTCTGGCCCAGAGTATCATAAACTGAGTAGACATTTCTGCTTGAACAGTGCATTCTTTGAAGTGAAGGCGTGAAAATACATCATAAATACCCAGTAATGCCAAATAATTTTTATTTGTTTAAATTAAAAAAAAATGCTAAATATTTTGAATTGTCATAGGTCACGTAGATAGCGTAGGCCTTATCTTGTATCTTCTTATAAATAAGCCTCCACTAAAATGTATGAAAGCGAATAGTAAATTTAAAACTTTCAAGCGGAATTACTTTAATGGACCCTAGAATTATTTATGACTACAGGAAAAATGGAATCTATTTTTGTCAGTGTGGCTTTGAGCGTGTTTGGATTTCTTGTTTATGTTATTAATATTTCAACACAAATATGTCAGAGTACTTGTTTTTATTATACACACAAGATTAAAATATATTCAAAAAGTATTCTCATATTTCCACAAGTTATCTTACTGGATTCTAACTTTAAACATCTTACTGTATATATTGAAATAAATTTTTTAATACCATAAATCGTAAAATTGTATTGTGGTTCCGGTGATTGTTCTATATTATTAATTAATTTATGGAATCTTTTATTTAGTTCAGAGACTAGAATTCTGTATAGGATAAAAAAAAATCTGGTTTAGCATATCCTATTCCAATTTTCCTGCTATGGTTGATAACTGATGGATGACTGAGATCTGGAATCTGTCACCATGACAACATTTTTTTCTTCAAAATTTTTTATTTCCTTTTTATATCTTATAAAAAACATAAAATTTCCTCATCTTCGAAATAACTAACTTTGTAATTGGACTGATCTTCTGCTGGCAATCTGTATTAAGTATTCCCCTGATCTGTGAAAGTCAGTTCATCCTCAAACCCTTTGTCATTTATTGATTTAATTGATAAGAAAGTTTTTCATAAATGGCCTCAATTAATATTGGAAGAACCAACTGTGCATTATGATGAGATTTTATTGTTACTTATGTTTTAAAAGCAATTTTTCCTGAAAATTTTTTAAAGCAACACTTATAATTAAAATGATTTTTCCACAATAGTTCCCTATAAAGCTGGGAATCTTCTTTACTTCTTTCAAACAAATAAACAAGACACGTTACGTTTTCAATTGTAAGTATATACTCCTCATATTCAAAGAAAGTATTCTTAATACCAACTACACAAGAACATAAATAAATTGAAAATTTGTAGTTTTTCATATACCATGGTAAGCTCTATCATCTCTGTAATAAAATGACGATCAAGTCTCCCAATTTGGGTCTAATTCTTCCAACACCTTTTCATAATTGTCTGCCTCCTGGGAAATCTCTCAGAGGGATGACAGTTCTTTCCACCAAGTCGAATTTTAAAATAAACTCAATGGCTGTATTCGTCTGTATTTATATGACACATCTATAACATATAGCATATCTTATTGCCAATATTACTTATTGATGCATGCACAATGTCATTCAAAATTGAAAAAAATGGGTTATGTATCACTATCGCACAGATTCCAAGCCTCAGGGAATTTGAGATCTTTAAATCTAATGTCCACTGCTCATGTGCTTATTAACCGCTTGAACCCGGCAAGCCGGTTTACCGGCTTGTTTGAGTACGCTCTGTGCCCCGGCAAGCCGGTTTACCGGCTTGTTTTTCGTGTCGGAGGGAATCAACTTTATGATCTCGTATCTCAAGAACCACAATGAGTATTTAAATAAATTTTATATTGCATGAAAGCTTGTTATTGAAACTAATTATATTGTGATGATCGGTGCTCTAATATACGATGTTTCAGTAAAATTGGCAATTTGAAAGTGCGTATGAAATTATTGTATGATGACAAATATTTAATATAAAGAATTTCGACTTCTTGCCTAAATAGCCACATATTCAATCGCAATATATGTGGAGAATTTGAATAGCTTTTTATATACGTATCCAAAACGATTTTACGATGAGCCATTCAAATTTTATGACCAAATATATTAGATTATCTGTAGATTTAACAGCGACGCTGCGTCAAATTGATGTTCTCATTGAAGAGAGGCAACGTCTCGTCACGCACAACTTTACGCATATTACGCAAATGCAACTAAACGTGACGATATCCGCAATAACGTTACGTCGAGATGGTATTATTTAAATGTCCGCAGGAAGTAATTAATTAACCCGATGCTACGCATTCAAAATTCGCACTACGCTTTGACTTTGACTGCCCGCTCAAGCCCCATTAAGTTGTGGTTACGTATACGCAATATGAACAAGATTGTGATTTATTAGCGGATAACGGAACAATAAAGACCATGAAAAATGTATGTACATAAAAGACTGCTTGCTAAAAATTTTAAATTGAATATTGCACTTTGTTGTGCCCGGAACAATGAAGAACATGAAAATATTAGGCAGACTAAATCCAATATTGCACTTTGTTGTGCCAGTTATACCAATGGTTGTTGATTTTGTTACCTATACATAGGTACTCATTACAGTATTTGTACTTATATACTGTCTCGCATCGTTTCAGCAACGCTTTGTCTTTAGCAGCTGGATTGGTTTTTTGGCAATAATGTAAATTTTGCTGCATACGATGCATCTATTATTAGAACTGGCGTTTTGCGGTGGGGTATCTAGTTCTGGCGACGCATATGATCTTGGTGGAATAAGAGTTGCTCTTTCTGCATTATTAGTGCTCTCAGATATTATTCCATCCACTTGCTTCGCCTAACATTCGTAAAATCAGATATTTTGATCTGCAGAGCAGGCAAGTACTTATTTTGGTTGATATTTGAACAAATACTCATGGGCGAATAAAACATTTTCCACGTGAAATTTTATATGACGATATTAACTTCACTTCGCTATTACTGCACGCATTACTCGACGTTGGTACTTCAATCCATACAGGGTTAATATCATATCGAAACTCGGCGACCGATGTCCCGCTGAGAACGTCATCGTGAAAGTTATCTTGCGCATTTTGCCACGCAATACGTTTCGAACGTACTTATCAACATCTTCATGACGGTAGTCACGTGATCGGCTTTTGCGTAGCTGCGTAATCAGTGCGTCATGGCCGCTTATCGATGTTGTTCACCCGACACAATGATACACAATTAAATATTTAAATATAAAATTGGTTATATGGCAGCCACAATAGTAATTCGAATATCAACAAAAAGCTTATAAAAAACTCTTTATGAACATCAAATATTGGCAGTATATTTTGTACCAAACTAACAAAATTTCAAGCCAAAACTCACATACATGCAGAAAAATGACTGTTAGATTAGGGTCAATTTTATTAATTTTGACAAAATGTATTTTAAAATGGAAAATACATTCTGAATGCACGATAAAATTTCCTTTCGATTGAAATGTCTCATAACGTGCTACCTATAATTGGTGAAAAGTTACAAGCGTGCCAAATAGCCAGTATTTAGACTTATTTTATTGTTCTACCAATACGGCGCCGCGAACCTTCAGGGTGAGCGAGTAACTTCGCTCAGAGCCGTCAGAGTTCAAAGAGTTAAGTATTGATGTTTTGTGGTAAAGTAATACTAATATCATGTTCGTGTACCTCAATATTCCACTCTCCCCTTTCATTGATTTTTTAATTTTATAATTATTAGCTCGTTTAATCTTTCTATTTATGTATAGATTTGGTCAATCTGCCAATTGGTACATTGATGCATTAATTCTGTAAACATCCATATCTGATCCATTTTAGGAGGAAATATAAACAAAATCAGAAATTTACGAAGTTCATATACAGGGCTTAATTTAGAAATAGAATTTGGGTTAAAATGAATTTTTATTTGTCAAGATAATCATTCTTTAGTTGTTCTGTAAAAACTGGTAATTTTGCCATGATTGAAGGAAAATGTTAGAATCTTAATTTATAAATTTAATTTTAAGTTTATACATTTAGAAATTTTAAAATCATATATAACTGTAGGAATACTATTTTTATCAAAAAGTCATTGTATTCTTAGTTGGTTTTACTTGGGTTAGCTTGAAATTATGGAATCAGACCATCATCAGTATTCGATAATTTAGGATTCAAATTTAAAGTTTGGTGAGCAAATATAGATATTAAAGGTTTTTCCTTCATAGATATGCCAAAAACAAAATTAATTTCATAGTATATATCAGATAAAGGTGCAAGAGACGTGACCAGGCCAAGTGAGGCAAATATGGGATTTAATGAATATCAAACCATTTTAGATTGCAATATTCACATATAAACATATATCAAAATGATACAGCAGTAAAATCGAATAGATAAATAAAATTTTGATAGACACAATATCTGAAAACAATTACCGATGTACTTAACTTTGAACCAAAATTTTAGGCGTTCCCAGAAAATCTTATTTTATTGGGTTAAAATATTTATCTTTACTTTGACAAGTTTAATTAGCTAACTGTACTCTTCCTAGGTAGTCATCTCCTGTTGTTCTAAGCTGATCAACATTGCAATGACACCTGCATTGTCTTTACTGCTTGACATACTCTGTTCTATACTTGGGTTTTTTAAGGTCTACCTCCCTGACTATTTATTTGCATAATTGATTCAAGAAAAGATGTTGATATAAAATTAGAAAAAATAATGAGGAAATATTTTTTGGAGTAGTGAAAAATTTGCTATCAAAATTTTCAGTAAGATTGACACTGCTTTGCAAGTATATCTAACACATATAGCCTATAACACATGTAGCCTATATCTTAGAATCATCATGTAAATCAACATACCTCATGATGCCGATATAAATATTCTTGGAAAAAAGATTATGAATTTTGAACTTTTTCAAAAAAATTTATCCCAGTTTTCAAGTGGTATTTTCTACAAAAGCTATACCCCACTGTTTCAAGTCTGTCAATTTCCATACAATTTCAAAATAAAAATTTTCTACCTCTTAACTCTTTCATATTGCATTGAGATCATCGTCGTTCGTCATTACCTTTTACACTATGTAATACAAAACTCTATCTCTACATGGAGAATATTCTTATTGAGAATAAATATAACACATTCAACACTTTAGTTCTACCGTAATTCAAATTCCAACGCTAATCCTAGTAATAACAGGATTAGAAAAATCAATAAGTTACTAAATTAACATTTTTGAATATGGATTATTGAAAATATTCCAAATTGGTCATATTTGGAAGAGATTTTTGGTCCCAATTAATATAATTTTATCTAAATGCGGAATAGTTGATGTAAACTGTTTTCAGTGATATTCTATTTATATGATGCCAGATGTTAAAGGAACTACTAACCTCCAACCTCCCCCCCCCCCCTCTAAAGCGGGTCCAGTTAATTTTCTTTAATAATGTTGCATATTCAAGAGAGGGAGTAAAATCAATAATTGTTTGTGTTTTATAAGGACAAAAGCCCTCATTAGTGCGACCACCACAGTAGAGACATTTGCCTATGTCTCTGATAATGATCTTATTAAAAATTTGTGTATGATTTCCGTGCGGAAATTGGAATAACACTGGCAAATCATATCTGAAATGACTTTTTCAATTAATGCTTAAATGTAAATTTTTATTGTGTCCCACGAATTAGAAGCAAATTTCCATGGTGGTCTATTGCATAACATTTCTGTATGGTCATGTAAGATCATTCATTTATTTGGATTGTTATTTCATTTTCATTTAATCTATTAATTTCTTAAAAAACTCGATAAATCAAGAACAGGATAACTCATGACCCATATTCGTTTTGAAACATATTTTATGATGCGTTTTCTGATCTTGACTCTGAACAAAACTCTGTGCAAGCAGTCATTAAGTGGTGGCGTGTAGCTTCTCTCAGATATTGCCTTCCTGCCTAACACATCATACCTTGGGTGAGGTTGTAAGCATGGTATTTGAACCTGGGATTTTTCACATGTTATGCCGACGTAATTCGGTCAAATGTTATATTAACTCCCATGTTCTAAGGTAGGGGTGTGCAACACTTATACAGGAGGGCCAGATACAAAGAACTGGGTGAAACAGCGGGCCGCACCTTTATTTAACATAGGCTTTCTAGTATTTGCAGGCATGAAAAAGGCATTGTAACCTTATAAGCGTAGATAATAAATGTGACTCAGGTATAGACTTTGCAAAGCAAAGGGATTGCAATTACTCGCACATACCAGATTACACTAATTTAAAAACGTTTCGCGGGACGCACACCATTCAAAATTGGCACTTCTCTGCGGGCTGTACAATTTTTCCTTGTGGGCGCATTTGGCGCAGGTTGCACACCCCTCTTCTAAGGAATTATTTGAATAATAAATCATGATTTATCTTGTTTGTTTATTCATATGTTTATTTCCTAAAACAATGATAATACTTTAAAGCAACGATTATTCTTTTCTTATTTGAGATTATTCCTTTCAGATTATCTATCTCAAGGTGTAGATCTGACTGGTGTTGACATAATATCAGGAGATCTTCTTTTTGCGAAAAGAGCACGAAATGAAATTGAAAGTCAGACATCTCGTCTTTTAGAGCAAGGTGTACTCGCTCAAGTAAGTATATTTTATAAATAATAATGCATGTGCAAGCTTTAATACAGGAGGGCCAGATACAAATACCTGGCTGAAACCGCGGGCCACACCTTTATTTAACATAGGCTTTCTAGTAGTTGCACACACAAAAATTTCGGTTATTGATCTTATGACATGCGTTGTTCGCTTCGCACAAGATAGTTGTTACGGCATTGTAACGTCATAGGCATAGATAATAAATTGGACTATGGTATGGGCTTTGCAGCGTAAGGAGATTGGAATTACTTGCAAATACCTGACTAAACTAAATTAAAAACTCATTTCGTGAACCGCACACCATTCAAAATTGGCAATTCTCCGCGAGCCGCACAATTTTTTCTTGTGGGCAGCATGCGGCCCAAGCACCGCAGGTTGCACACTCCTGCTCATAGATGAGTTTCCTTTACTCTTGAGTAAGAGTCTGTGATCTTGCTTTGAACAAATTCTCTTAAAAATTTACAAAATGTTTGGAAAAGATTTTCAGATGTCTGACACTGCTCGCAACGTATACAATACAGTATTCATTGATAATTCAATTGAAAAGAAAACTATTCTCATCAAGGTGTAGAGTAATTACCCACATACCATTACATGTCATACTTCCCAAAATAAATTTGCTTCAACTTGATAGAAATTAATAATTTTATAATTATTATACTAAATGGTCACATTAAATACTGCACAAACCAGTAAAACAATAATCACTGGCAATCATAGTACAATAAAATAATTTAATCAAGCATAAGTCAATTTTGATATTCTAAATCAACTATCAATACGATTTCTCGTTTTTCTAAGCATTACATTTTCGAAGCATCCACAATTAAACCTGATATATCTGCTAAATTCCTTATATATATTTTTTTCATTCAAATCTTGATTATAGCGTATCTACTGTTCTAAACTTACATGTATTCAAGTTTTGATGAATTTCTACTTGAGTGAGAGCCATAAAATAGGGCATCACAATATGACAGTTATTGTGTGTCATTTTTATCATAGTATGCTAATTAATGCAAAGATGTCAAATATTTTAATTTATTAGCAGAAAATATGATAAGTCAGCCCGAAATCCTGCAACACTGAATTATTCAAATAAGATGCAAAAACCTGCTCTCTTGTCTCAAGCAAAATTCACCTGAAACCTTTTCGTAAATCATTTTATTCATCAAGTATATTGACATACGTGAGGTCTGCAGACTTAATTTTGATTTAAAAGCATATTTACAATGCGTTTGTTTATTATTGTTTGATTAAAGATTAAAAAAATAACAAGAAAGTTAAATATTTGTCCAGGAAATTCTCACTATATTATAAATTCTTATCTTGGTGGTACCAAAGTAAGTCTCGTCTGACGTCAGTGTTTAGCTCGTAATTTTGACTCGCCTTTACTAAACCTCTAATTGTTTCAACAAAGTGTATTCCTCTCGCTGCTCATAAATTTTAATTGCAATATTACATCGTAAAACCTGTCTTTTGAAAACATCAACGTAATGGTCACGAAGTTTAAAATCATCTTTGTGACAAATTTCGTTGACGCAAATCAAAAATTTAACCATATATATATTCAAATATTTATTTCCATGTTCTAATCCGCACGTTCTTATCACTCTGTTTCCAAAATCTAAAATACCACGTTTTAAAGTGAGTGAAAAAGGGGAAAATTATGGATGAATTTCCCATTCATTTCCGCCGTATCGTGAACCATTAGTCAAAATCGATACTTAATGTATTATTTATGTAACCTGTTGCGGCATGCCAGATGCATCTTTTATGTTGCAAATGCATTTGACGGGTAATATATACACCTGTGCTATCTTGCCTCAATGATGTTTTTTGCTCCGTTATTTACTGTTTAAATAAATTGGAGAGGAAAATATATTATGATATTATCACATAATTTTGCTTGATGATTTTTAGTTTCTTTATCAAAAATGATGTTTTTTGCAAAGTCTGATATGTACATGTACTTTATTGCACATTTTGTGTACTTTATAGGCCATCCATACTTGTTTGAACATAACTCGAGTACTACTTTTAGATTAAATAAATTTTTTCATATCATTAGGGAGTGTGTATTTTTGTATGTGTGAATGTGTATTTTTTGTTTGTGTGGATGTGTATCTTTTGTTTGTGTAAATGTGTATTTTTTGTATGTGTGAATGTGTATTTTTTGTTTGTGTGAATGTGTATTTTTTGTATGTGTGAATGTGTATTTTTTGTATGTGTGAATGTGTATTTTTTGTATGTGTGAATGTGTATATTTTGGTATTTAAGTTTTAAATCACTTGTTATCGTAAGTTTATTTGATTTCATTCTATAAATATATTACATTTATTTAGAATCCATCTCAAATTGCCACAGCTCTCCAAGCTTTTTATAACTTGGGAGATCTGTACAACCCGCTGCGTAAAACGACAGATGATTTGATATCATCACTTCAATCTCAAATAAGAAGAGCTCTTGATCCAAAAATAATATCTAACGCTGTCAATAATATATCTACCAAGACATCTGGTTCAAATTTAAGCCATTCTAAAGGTGAATATATTTTATTTTGATATTCAAAATTTCTAACTTTTCCTTAATAAGATGTGAGATATAATATGATGTCATGATTTTTCTTTCGTGTCTTTTTTACATTTCATCATCTTATTAATTCAATTTGCATATAATTTTACTACTATTTGAAATATTTATCCAATTGATAAACTAATGGTGAAATATTTTGACATAGAATTGTCACTTAAAATAAAGTTCGGTTTATTAAAATTAATGAAATGTCAGTTTGGGTTTCCAGTTTGTAATAAAATCATGCTCGTGAAATTGACTGAATTTCGCGAGTTATGTCTGTGCTCAATTTTCTAGTTTTTTCTTTTTAAATTCCATATAGGCATAATTCAGATTGAAAAATAGTAATTAGAATTCTTCTTTTTTTTTTTCAATTTTTTTCAATGTCTTTATGACAAAGGTATTTTAATGTTGTGCGATTCAAACTTCTTTTAGTTAATATATTACCGCTGTTTACAGGTTTTAGTAGAGATGGAATTTTTTGTATATGGGTATTTTTCTGTGACATTTTAACCACGTAAAATTAAGTTTGGGAAAAATTCAATAAACCCATTATTTTAAAATACCGCAATCATGTTAGATTTTTAAACAAAATTGATATGTTTTGTTTTCTTTAGGGATTTCAGGGAAATTTGGTTACGACTTCAAACTAATTATGAGTAAGAGATAGATATCATATGTTCTCTGTCGTGTTTTGTCCCTAATGATTAACACCACTCTTTTAGCGGATTTTTTTTATTTTCAAGATAATTTATTCATAGCAGGGTCATATGCACTTACTCAGAAGTGAAGGAGAATCGTACTGATGAAGAATTTGTTATACTTTGTGAAGCAAATTCTGAATAAAATGGATTATGATCATAAATGTTATCACACATCATTAATGTTGTTCCGTTTTTGATCACATTCAATATTTAAATGTGGGTTAGCACATGGTCATCTATGCACACAATTAAAAAAAATGTCCCCAATTTATCAGTTTATGTGTTGAAGGTGATATGTATCATGCATGTGCCATGTTAAATATACTGCATTATGTTGCGAAGACTAATTGACTTCTACTGGCGTAGCAGAAAATGTCCAATTTGCCAAATGCAATTTCAGATTGCATTTTTGGGGAAATTTTATCCCAAGGGATTTATCATTGCTCTTCACATGGATTTGACTTTGTGCCGGCATTAAAAATTTAGTGTATAAAATTTAGTGTCTCCCGTTACATTGCCCTTTCGACAGGTGTGGAATCGAGTTCATATTAGAAATATGTCAAAGTCACAAAACTTGTGTTATTGGTAGCTTTGACCAGAACCGAATAATTTACCATTCCATATACATTCTGAAACAAATGACATTCTGAAAATTGTGTTAATATTGTAAATTCTATAATTCATGGAATTTGATTATACAATAGTTGCAAACTAAATGTTACTTTGATTTATTTTCTGTTTTTACAAGGCTGAAAAGAAGTAGGCCAAAGTCCATTATTATGTTTTATTGCCAATGCCTCAAATGACAAATTTTTAAATGAAACTATTCGAATTGTTTTCAAAATCAAGAATTTGCAATATTAAGCATAACTAATTTCAAATGTATTTGAATATTTGATCTATTTTGGGCATCCCTGGTTATTGGTAGGAAAAAAATGTCAAATTATGCAAAACATTTTACAATGTTTTCATTAGTTAATAGAAAGTAGTTACGCTGTGAATATTATGATTGCTCTTTACTAATGATTTACTCTTTGGTTTACAGGTCCCGGTAAAGCTGCTGGTATGCCTACACCTGGAGATACTCCAGCATTCAGAACCTTGCTATGGAATAATATGGAAGAAGTTATGGAAAATGTTTATCTTGCTAGTACTCAGGTAAGATATTGAACTATTTTGTTATAAAAATAATCAGAATGAAGGAAATCCATTGCAATTTTCTAAACTCTCATTCCGTTTTTCCATAATAGTTTTGGTTGTCATTGGGGGAATACTCAACTGAAATGTAATGTGAGCAGGATGTTTCCCTCTTTCTTTCTTTAATCTTCAGTGTCGCATTAATTCTGAAAGACACCTTACCTTCGAATAATGCTTTGAATGCATCTGATGACTATATGAGTCTTCTAATTTCTTGCATGTTGTGCAAATTTACTCTTGAGATTCTTTCATTTATGAGTAAGTTCTTGAGCATTTGTCTCGAGACAATATTTCAATAAGATGAGATATTTTTTGGTTTGGAGTCTATTTATGGTAATTTTCAATGATTTATTTCTTAGATCATCAATCTTCAGAAAGTTTTATCGAAAAAACGAGATCCAGTTACTCATCACAGATTCATTGATGAACTCAGTAAAGTAGGTTTCTTATCAATTTCTCATCACTGTATTGATTGGACAAGAAGTGGGCTTATGAATCGTCTTGCTAAATTGTTGTTAGGGTCATTGTTGTTGTTTAAAAATAATCGCTTTTCTCTACAACCAATGGACCAATCAATTTTTAATTTTTGATACTTGAAGATGGTTTAAGCTGCTAGCAGATTGTAACTTTTATTTTATTTTTTTGAATTTTCCTACGTTTGCTGTTTTCTCTTATTTCATGTAAAACTTTTTATGAAATATGGAAACACTGTATTTTGCCATGCTGTTCTTCTCAGCAAGCCCTGTTCACAGTTGTTTTATTTTATTCATGGGTTCATCTTTTATGAAATATAGAGCATTTTAGACACAACCTCAATGTCAAAATATTTTTGCATTGCCATCAGTCTCTTGTCTTGTCTTGATAAAGAAAATAATTTGAATAGTGTTTTGGTTTCGTTTGTCATTAATAATTTTAACTGGTGTTAAATTAATATGGTATAATGGAATCACTTTTCGTTCTTTTTCACTTCGTTTAGTGTTATTTCATTATTTTTTGGATCTATCTAGGAAGGGAAAAGCACTCAATTTGCAAGATTGTTCTGGCAAAACATGTCTCGATGCATCGATGAAGAATTAAAACATGCTGTTAAATGTATGTAACATAAATATATAAATGTCAGAGATTCATAAAATGCCTATTTATGGACATATAAACTATTCAAACTGTGCAAAAACCAGAGTGCGGGTCGTGCGTATCAGTTAAATATTGAACGACAAACGGAAATAAAGTTTACAAGTATTGCGCCGGGGGAATTAGGAATTTAAAATAAGCAAAGGGAGTATTGTATTGAAAATGGTTATGAGTCATTGTTATATGAAAACTCCATCTTATATTTCCAAAATAACTTATTGGATATCAATTTTCATGACGTCATATTATGTCCAAATGACATTACCGTACTAATCTGTTCATCTATTTGTTTTAGCATCATCGTTTATACAGCAAGCATTTGAAGGAGAATATCCAAAATTAATGAGACTGTATAATAACCTTTGGTGCAAAGTTCTACCATTTTGTGAAGCTTTGGAGGTTTGTAAATATCATTATATGCTCTGTTAAAATTTTATTTCTGTGGTTCTATATTTAATATACAACGTATATTACCGCCAAAAATAGGACATGCTAAATTATCTTTAATTATCATTTTAAATTGAAAAATTTAATACACAAGTTGAGTCCAATTTACTCTCTGATGGCCATCTAAATTTTTGTTTTCATTGGTTCATTAATTCTAACGTCATGTCTATTTATAGTAAACATATTATATAATTTATATTTCACACTCTTATCATGATTACTATTTTCAGAAGAAAAATTCTGCCGAGTATGGACTGTTGATGGATTGTGTCGATTAGGCGCGATCCATCGATAGCCCATACTCGGCAAAGATTTTTTCTCAGAGTATTTTAAAGATTTCTACTAATCTGCAAGAGACGTAACTTAACATGATTTTTCCATAACAGAAACTGCTCACAGTCGTAGCTTATTTCTCTCTGGCGTTACGTTCTCATTAATATTAATGGTGCTGTTAACAGATTATCGAACCACGAAATACGATTTTAAACTATGTCTCATGGAAGGGCCGTCTAACATGTTGCAAAAATGTTTTAATTCTTGCTTATAATCTGACAAATGCGGTGTGAAATATGGACACAAAAGCATTTTGTGGGTGCTTTATTTCCTTTTAAAACGCTTTTCAGGGCAAAGTTGAAGCTTTTAAAGACGCAACTTCGTTTGCCCCGCAAGATATTGAAATACCATCCGATACATCATCAAAACCGAAAGAAACTAATTTCAAGTATTTTTTTTTTGTTGTTCACATGTATTTATTCCTCTCTAAACAAGTCTGTTTACAATAAGCTTTTTTAACATCTTATAAATTCATTGAAATTGAATTTTGTATTTCAGTTTGGTTGTAAAAAACTGACTTCAATTAATATTATATTTTCACAGTGTCAGAAAGTACATTTTTTTTACCATAACATGTCAAATTCTAATAATTACAACTTTTTGAACAAACTTATGTTGTTTAATTTACTTTAACAGTGTCAGTGTTAAATAGAATTCATTTTTGTCCAAGGGTGAAAAATGACAAATTTTGAAAATTCAAAATTCAAAAAATTCAAAATTTACTATATTGAATTACTATATTCATATTATGTGTCGTTGTTATCTTTGCTCTAAATAAATATCCACCAGGACGTTGTATAGTTGAATAACTTTTTCAATATTCGAATGATTTTGAGACGAAGAGGTTTGAATTTTTTTAAATAATTCAATAGGCTATGAATTTATTTGAAAGCAACATTTTTTTTTTATTCCCAATGTTTAAAGCAACATTCACCAAATTATTGTAATAGATTTACACGAGTCCAAAAATCAAAACTGTATATTTTATCATTTTTAAAAAAAAAATTTTACGTTTTGCCCTTTTGGATAAAAATCCTTCGATTTGTTGACCAGACAAATTTATTGATCTATTTTTTCTATTCCATCGCTGTGATCTGATTTGATGAAAATCTTGAAATGTAATTAGAATTCTGACCTGTGAAGATATCAATACAGTCACGTTAATTATGGTACTGAGATATGCCAGAGTAAATTTTTTCAAAGTCTATGAACAATTTTAAAGTTACATAAGTTTTTCTAAAACATGGTACTCACAATATCAACAATGATTCTTAAATTTTCCTTATACGTCATTAGGAAGAAAGCGTGTAAAATATATTTAAAATATTCGTTGCATTGAAGATATTATATTCATGTTCATAAGAATAATATTTTCTGACAGTTATTGATGCGATTTCATTTTTAAAAAGGATTTAGGATTAGTTCTGGATTATATTTAATAACATTTAATTTTTATCAGGTCGAATGCGGTCAATATTGTTATAATTTTTTTTTCTTAATTTTTGAGTAGATATCTTGACATATTCATCCTATATTTGCTTTTCAAATGTTTTTTCATGCTTGGCAGATTTTGATACCATCTTTAATTTATTCATTTTTTAGATATTTTGTAAGTCAGACCGTCAGAGGGAATGTTGTTAATAAGATTCTGGCTGATTTGTAGGCTAAATTAAGTCAAACAAAATTAATTTGTTTTGCTGGATAAAACTTGCTTAGTCATTGGGTTGTCATGGTAATATAATTAATTTAATCTCTTTAAACATTAATTGGAATTCTTGGGATTGGTGTCAGATGAAATTTAAAAAATCGAAAAATCAATCGTTTGAAAGACTTTATAAAACTCCATTAAAGTTGTATAAAATAGGAATTATACAGAAAAATTGATTCTTTTTAGTCCTGAACTGGCTTTGAAACAATCACTTCGTTCATTTGAAACTGCGTATTTGCAACGATCGTTATCAAGACTGTTTGATCCTGTCAACTTAGTTTTTCCTCCTGGTGCTAAGAATCCTCCATCAGATGAAGAAGTTGATGCAATCATAAAAACAATATCAAGGTTAGTGGAGGGATTCTAAAGAAATTAGCTTGAACTGAATGCATTCGGAATAAGTGTGGGTTCAAATGATTTCTAAAGTGTGTGCTAGAATTGTTTATATTCAAATAGCTTTACCTAATTTACGTTCGATTCTGATTTTTTCCTTACAGAAAAATTATAACATATGCAATGCATGCGAATCATGACATGAGTGAAATTTAATTCATTCATTGTATCAAGTTGTATTCAACTTTCAATTTCGCTAGCTGTTTAAAACCCCTTTTCCATTTTCAATATAGGTGCTAACAAATTTATTTTTATGACTTTTGAAATTTTGATGAACAATTGCTTACTTCATTTTATGAATCCATCCGTTCACTTATTTTCACTTCAACTTCTATTCAATTATTCATTTAGTGAGATCAGCGTATCAAGTGTTGATGCAGGACTGAGTATAACAGTGGCACGAAACGTTGCAAAAACTGTCAAATTCTTTGCCGTGAAATCGGAACAACTGGTATGTATTAAATTTCAAGGAAAGGGGAATATTTTACCGGTCATATTACGCGATGACCTGTTCCGAAACAAACATGATTTTCATTCCTTCTCACAAATATGATTGTCCATGTTGATTGTATGATTCAGTTATCTGATTGGGTCAAATTCAAATGCTGTTTTTATGTAACAATGTGATTTTTTACTCTTAGTAATTATGTCCCGATTTGACTATTTACTGAAAAAACTTCAAACCCGATTTTTCCAAATTCAAAATTTTTTTAATCATTATTCTACAGTTACACCAGCTATATATAAGCCTTTCAAACCAATTCAATTGGAATACATCAACTTGAAACTACTTTAATAGACTGTATGTTCTGTATTTTGTCAGAAAATTTGAACCTAATAGAAAATAAAATAGCAGATATTACTAAAAGTATAATAAAGCATTAATTGTCAATCATGAAATCTGTACATTATAACCTGTATATTGATTGTCTGAATATGTAACAGTATCTACACAATGATAAATAGAATATGGAGATAGAATACATTTATAATACCTTGTTGGCCTATGACATAGTTGTGTGACATGTACCCCTCACCTGTATAAATGCAGTTTAAGAATGATAATAAAGAATACATACTAATGAAGAATACACATGGATGAAATATTAGTTAGTAGCACAAATGCACATCAAAGATATAGCACAACAGTAATATGTATATTAGCCAGTTAGGAGATGGAAAAGAGAAAAGTAGAGAAAAAACATAACAGCCCATATTAATAGATATCAGTTATTTTTTTCTGCACCATTTCATTTACAATTGAACTTTTCAAACCAGTGGTTCTCAAACTTTTTGGGCCGTGCCCCCTTTTTTGAATTTGCCAAGTCTCGAGCCCCACCTCAAAAATACCTAGCTAACAATAAGCTAAAAATAACAGATAGTAAGACGAAAGTATGTTTTATTCAAAATACATGTTGAAAATATGTGGATGGAACATAAAGAATGAAATGAATCGAAAGTTTTAAAAACAAGCAAAATTTGTTGTTATTTCTATTAGTGCAGTTGTTTTGGGCTGACAAAATAAGAAATGTAAATAGCCTATCCAAATAAGGTGGGCAAGATCAAATCTAACAAATATTTTTAATAAGCTTCATGTCCCCTCCATAAATTGTGTACGCCCCGCTCATGAGGCACGCCCCATCGTTTGAAAACCATTGAATTAAACATTCTAAATTTACAATCTTCTGCATTTTTTCAGTTATCAACTCAAGGTGAAGCAAGTCAAGTAATAGGACCACCGAATTTAAATCAAAGATGCAATGCCAATGTCATCAATTCACTCTACAGATTGCAGAAATCTTTATCAAAGGTATCTTTCTATTACCTTGTTCATGCCTGTTTGACCCAAAAATACAGAACCACAAGTTTTTTAATTACATCTATGAAAATGAAGAAAATTTATTAACACTTGAACTTCTGTTTATGTATGATTGTACCCAATACTTTAAATAATCTAGGACGCTTCGCACAAAAGTTGTGTTCTCCTCATAATATGTTCCGAATGCCCTATGTTCTGTTTTTTTTGGCTCACTTTTATATGTGATATTCTAAAAATTCATATAGAATTATATATTTCTGGATATTTAATCGAAATTTGTCTTGACAAGTTTCTACTAGTTTGTAACAAATTAATCTCAAAACATAGTCTCAAGTGCAAAGTCGCACACTCATTCAGAAGTTAAGGAAACTATCAAAGTTCTTCAAGAATATCCACTAAATACATGGAACCATTTAAGAGAGAATAATCTTGTGCATAGTTTTGGACAATTTGTGACAGCTGATTTGGAATCTACTGGCTTCTATGCTGTGAATTGATTTATTGCGACCTTGCTCTGACCTGCTCATATTAGACCTGCTCATATTAGCATATCTCCGACACATTTCAATATTCAACAATTGCCAGTTTTACATATAGAATAGCTGTCTTGCATGATTAGTGCATTTTTTAAGTTGTTTGTTCATATTTCCAACTTTTTTAAGGTATTTGCTGAACATCCTGATTATTCACCAGAAGCCATTGAAATTGTCCAGGAATCATTGGTAGTTTTAACAATTTTAATGTCAAATGGTATCAGACCATTGTTATCATCCATGGCTGATTCAGTAGAAGCAATCATACTTACTATTCACAATGAAGATTTTTCAAGGTATGGTGGAGAATGGAGATTTTGAAACAATATTTGGCAACTTTCAAATCATGCTAGCAGATGGAATTTCTCTTTCTAACTAATTTTAATTTATATCTTTTCAGTTATTCATATCTTGATTTTGCTATGCTTGAAAAATACAACTTAGGATAAGATATCATTTTTATCCCGGGGAAAGGGAACGCCGATAAGACGGCTTAATCATATGGCATACCACGACCTCATGTTTGGTTACCAGTCCATGTCGAATATGGGGATTAATTAGCCAGTCGTGTTTTTTATATGCAAGTCCTTGATGATGGTGGAAGCTGTCAGAAGTCCAGCAATCCTCTCGCACATAATTATCCTTCATATATTGCAAATTTTATTCCATTAAACACCAACAAACAAGCAGACTTGTAGACTATCTGAAATATTCAAAAGCACCTTTGTTAAAATAACAATTTTTTCGAATTTTGTTAGCTCTGAATTTATTGGACTCCTTATTTGTAACCTTTAAAATTCTTGATTCAAGTTTGTAAATGCTGCTACCATTAATGATCTCAATTTCAAGTCTATACTGAGGACATAGATAATTAGGTGCTCCCGAAGTATGCTAACGAAGATGGCGGACATCGGAACGTAACATGGGTAACAGGTTAGGGTTAGGCGATAATTTTTTTCCAATTTTCCTTATTTTAGTCCTATTATAGTCCTATTAGTCCTATGCAGCCAATAATTCGAAGACTAGCCAAGAGCCTCCCGTGGTATTTATACCTAAAATTATGGCCTAACCCTAACCTAGTACACATATTACATTCCGATGTCCGCCATCTTGGTTCGCATACTTCGGGAGCCCCGATAATTAATACCATACCACCTTGCAGAGCCTTGTTCCGAGTAAGTTTAACATGAAAAAATGACTCGTGTTTTTAGGGGGAATCCAGAACCTGGTGAAAATGTTCTTTGTTCTCTTTATATGAAAGAGCTTCAAGATTTCATCAGTAGAGTTGTTAAAGATCACTTAGCGTTGTTCAAGTGTAAGGATTTTGTTATTGAAAGGTAAACAAATTTCTTGCAACCAGTATATGTCTGTATAAAAGTGATTTGATGTCATAAAATTTTTACGTAAGATTCACTGTTATTTGATGTGTAAAGTTTGTCCATGCTTTTCTTTTATTGACTTTTCACAAGATCACAAGAAACTGTTCTTTGTAATTGAAATTGTTCCTGTTGACAATCTTTAGGCAAGTTCAGAACATTATCAGGGGCTTATTGTATTAAGAAATGTCTTGTCTAGAGAAATTTTATATAAAAAAAAATTGGTTGGTATTCACTTCTACAGCACCAAAATTGCACTCATCGCATGGACCTGGCCACGTTCCATTTCGGATCTGCAGATCATTTTTAATGAAAGCGTTATTGCCAAGCTATTACTATGAGTGAATAATATATAATTAAAATAAAATTTGGATCATGATTTTTTTAATTTCAATTATCCAAAATGTATTAACATAATATGAAAAATGGTAGCAAACGAATATGATAAACATCTTATTGTAACCTATCTATAGGTATGCGTTTGTATAGATTTTTATTCAAACTAATAGAACAATTCTAACTGTAGGATTGTTACACTCGTTACTTCTAACTATTCATTTTTTCACTTTCCAGTTTAATTCCTCTCGGTCAAAGAGCTTTGACTTTATTTGTTCGACATGCTACTCTTGTGCGACCTCTGGGGGAAGGTGGGAAAGTAATTTTGGCTGCTGATTTTGCTCAGGTAATAAGTCTTAGTACTTGGAGGGAATAAGATAAAAATAGTATCAGATTGAGAAAAAAATAGTATGAGTTTGTAGTTGGCATATGCACTCCTTCTATCTGTGCTTATTAGGACTTTGTGTTGAGGAAAATTGACATTCCATTTCAAACTTTAAGCCAAGAGTGTGCAACATTTTTTGTCGGTGGGCCATATAACCAACTTCGAAAATTGGCCTGGGCCACATAAAAAATTTCTTCTCAATGTTCACGACAAATTGAAAATTTCTCGTTTCGCACCTGCAAAACCGCAAAAGATTCAAAACAGGCCCAAAAGTAAAAAAACATCATGTATATTTACCCATGCTGGTGCCTTTTCAAACATAGTTTGTCGGGTCAGGATCTTGGGCTTGAATGGGAAAATTGGACTGTAGACGAGGGCCACACTAAATGGCTTGGCGAGCCGGGTTGTGGCCCGCAGGTGTCGCCTGTTGCACCTTTGCTCTAGGCCATTTAAAAGACAATTCGGCTTGTGGTTGTCTAAAACTTTGACCTCAGCCCAAAGAATGCCAAATTTTAACTAAAAACTTTGCTTACGCAAGCAGTCCTCGAAGAAAGGTCATAGGCAACTTGATGCTCTTCTTGTTTTTGGTAAAAGTTCTGACTTTTATATCGTTAGAAGTTTATAAATACGACTCTAAACTATCAAGATTTAAAAATTTGTACCTCTGGCTCCCGACTACAAAAAGTTAATGCAACTCCAGCACAGACTCAGATATCGATAAAATTAGGCTGAACTTCGACCCCACAGCCGTAGTGCTAATACCAACTGATATAGCATGACTTAATTGATATTTCTCTATTTAACAAATTCTTATATAAATTAGTTAGGTGAATACTTCCCCATTTTTTATTTTTTATCAGATGGAATTAGCAGTAACCCCATTGTGTCGACGAATGAGTGAACTTGGAGCTCCATACAGAATACTACGTGCTTTCAGACCTTTGCTATTTGTCACCGATGCTGGGATTTCTGAGAGTCCTTCTGTTGGAGAAGTGATTCCTTACAGTACCGTTATTCATTATTTGTTCTCGAGAGCACCAGACGAATTTCGTTCTTCTCATAAGGTATATTAGCTATTTTTGATTCTAATGATATTCATGATTACCATAAAAATTGGGAAATCAATCTCTCATTCACCAATGACTGGACTATTTAATATGTTTATTGACATAATTTTATTTATACAGCTTTATGAATTTTCGTCTTGTATGAAGTACCCTGGGTGATTTCTTGCGGCTTTTTGTGGCTATAAAAGTTGTTACAAATATATCATTACTAAGTGCTGCAGCATTCATTTTGCTTATTTGAATGCTTATCGAAAACTGGTCATGATACAAAATATTTTTACTGTCTTTAAATTAATTTCCTTCAAATTTGGAAATTTTCCACGTTTTTGCTTTGAATTTTGACTTCCATACTACTAATTTTCCTCTGATTTTTTCTCTGGAAAAAGTTTTTTTTACACTGATCGGAATGCGTCATCAAAATATATTGTTATACTGTATTCAGATAAATTAATTCTGGTGGCAAATATGCAAATCAAAATATGCAAGACACAAGATTTGATTTTGTCTTGATTTTTGATAAAGCTGGCTTATCTGTGGCACTATTTGTGAATATTAGGACAAAAGCAGCTTAAAATTATTGTTCTTGATGTAATCTTGATCTACTTAGTAATTTATCAAATTCATATTTCAGGTTATGGATTGGTCTCTTAGTAGATACAGTAAATGGATGGATGAACATAAAACTGAAAAAGAAAGATTGAATATGTTACGAGGAACAATAGAACATTACGTTAATTCAGTTAAATCTAGACAAGGCACCGAATTTGCTGCAATATACCCTATAATGCTAGGACTTTTACAGAAGGGAATGGAAAAGAATAGCTGAAATGTAGATAAATCGGGCCATGTTCACAACACGACGTAAGTACCCCTAGTTGGCGTGGCATAACCATTTTTGCATATGTTATTCCCAACCCCCACCTGACTACATCATTTTAAAATTACACCACTACGACGTCACAGTAACGTAATAAGGTCCCCCCAAACTATACTGACTGTCGTCTTAGACGTGCAGACGATCACCCGAAATCCTGCAAGCTATTTTTCTCGTTTTCTCGTAACAATCCCGATATGACAGAGATTGCTTACGTTAGTGAGTTCGTTATCGTTGGCGAAGATGCCATTTCGGGCGATCATAGTTATACTTTAGCAAGCTGTTTGACGTGATTGTGAGGTCGTAGTGACGTAATCTTTGGAAGAGGGAGTCAGGTGGGGGTTCAGAATAACATATGCAAAAAGGGTTGTGCCATGCCAAATAGAAGTACTTACGTCGTTTAGTGAACATGCGTCGAAAAATCTACCGGGTCAGAAATCGGTGTTTGCACATCCTATGATTTCTGTTACTGTAATCATATGTTTTACTTCATTTCCTTGCTTATGAGGTATATTTCGGTGTAAATTCAAAAAGTGTTATTACCATGATGACCTAGAATTTCCTAATATTGTTTACATGTGAAAGCTATGTGACGTGCTCAAATGCTGAAACTATAGTGGCTAAATATTTCTTGGTTTAGAAAGTTAGTTACATAGTATCATCTTTTTTATGTTTACCCCTTGAAATATATATACAATAAAATAGTTATTCATCTAACACAGTAATTGTCATCTGCACATAATAACACACAGTCTGAGTCTCAGATAACCTTGACCCCCTGGAAAATTGATTTAATGCAATGTATTCAGCTATTAATAGTCAAACTTCATCAGTATTCACTGTTACCCTCGTACCGCGATTGTAAGAGAATTGGGCCAATATGTCTGATTGCAGATAACTATTCAGACTCTCATAAACAGTTCCAAAATTTAAATTCAAGTGGAACCAAAAGCTCGCATTTTAAGAAGTCAATATATCGCATGCTATTGTCTTCAAGGTTAGTAAATATATTTTCTGCTTGCTCCCTCTGATCCCACGAATCCGTTTACATCGATAAGATTCTATCTTGTGATACGTTTGTTAGTCGAAAGGATTTTTGGACACAAATTGACCTACAGATCATTTTGCTAAATTATTGTTGCTGTTATTCTTCTTGATGTTGGGGAAGAAATTTCTTTCACAAATCTTTGTCCAATCGGTTCCAAATTTATTTATTTCCTCCCGTCAACCGCCTTCGAATTAAACACCCATCTATCATTTTGGCCTATTTCTGTGCTCTTAAAGTTTACTGTAGCAATCTGCGAGTGTCCATATCTTTGAGCGTTGCTCTCTAGTTTTCTTACAAGTTATACTAATATTGGAATGATAAATTTATTGAAATAATATTGAAGCTTAGGAACATATGCATAACTATAGCAGGTGGCGATATTAATAGTCAGTTTAAAATGCAATATATATGTAATTTACAATATTTCCAATGATGTTGGTGCTTTATATTATGTATCATGGTAAAATAAAAAAACAATTGCTTTCTGGTAAATTGTTTAAAGAACCGGTTTGGTGCAGTTTTACTTGATTTCTAGTTGTCAAAAGTATTATACAGCTGTTTTGACAAATCAACTTAGTGTCGTTGATAGTACATTTCATACTTATCCCAGATATGGGAAAGCCACAAGGACGCAGTCTTTGGAGTTACAAAAATGCATTGCAATATTCGATGACGATAACCGACCAGCGGTTACGGCAAGCATTCCATCCGCCCCTCGCCTGAATTGGAAGTGTATTTGATCTATAAAATGTCGGTGCAGTTTGGGGTATTCTGTTACAAATGTTGATCGTTTCATGTTTGCCCAGCGGTGTCAAAAACGAGTTGTGTGAATATATTACTGAATAACTTTTCGGAACACGGATTTTCATCCCCATCCTCTCTGCATAATTTTTCGACATCAATTTGGTTTATGTTCTTCAGAATATGTGTAATCAACGTTTGCAGTGCAACTTGCTTGTACCGCATCCACCCACCCTCCTCGCACAACTGCCTGTATAAAGGACCATATTGTACATATTTGATTTACCCTATTATAATTTATACAAATCAAAGGGGTGTATGCCGCACATCTGTGTTTTAGGCCAATATGGTCTTGTGCATACATCCCGTCTTCAGTATTTATAAGTACTTACTCTTTTATATTGCTTTTACGAGACGAATAAACATACATACATACCACGAAGTGCCGGCGATTTCAGGCCTAACTGTAAAATTTTAGGTTCAAGCATAAGCTCGCAAGACGCTCACATTGTCGTTAAAAATTGTTTCTAAAGTACGTCACTCATGGTAACCGATAACTGAGCTTTTTTATTTGTTCATCAAGTTTTCAATTAAGGACTATATCTGGGTGAAGTTTTCTTGCGTGCTTTTTCAGATCGAAGTTTCTGCAAAATCCTTTCCCGCATACTTCACATGTGTACGGCTTCTTCTCTTCGTGTGTGTGCATATGGAAGGTGAGGTTATACACCTGAAAAAAACATTGTTGTAATGTTATGCGTCGGTAGAATTGTTTCATACTATAATTTTGTAGTCATGTTGTACCGGTGTTGCGTACACCGGTACCAGAAACTGCTCCAGTTTGATTTTGAATTCTATATTTAAAAGTTGTTGTCTATCTTAAAGGATGGCGGGTAACGTGAAAACAATCTAGGTCTGTTGTTGGAAAAAACACGCGTTTCTTGTGACTTAAGGATCGATTGGTTTCAAACTTTTAGTACTTAAAAAAATCTATTACTTTTTTAAATTCCTAAGTAACCCCTAATTCTCCCACCCACACTGATGTTGGACATTTGGAATTTTATATTTTTTTCTCCTAAGTTTAAGGAAAAAATTTATTCGGGATACGTTGCGTGGGTATGAATCAATGCTCTGGTTGTTTAGTGTATTGCCAACTTCTCATGTGATATGCATTAAACGGTTTGGTCAGGTTTTATTGATGGAGATTTTTTGTAGATATCAATCGGTGTCTCTTGAGTACAGTATAACCAGTATACTTGAATTTGTGAAGATGGCAATTGGCGACAAATTGTAGTTATATAATTACCATCAAAAACGGACGCTTCTAGCAAAAGGGAAAATAAATTTAAAATTGTTTAGATTAATGAATAAACAATTTTTGAAAACAAAAAGTCGTGCCTTTATTTTCCATTTTTTCACTAACTGATGATGTCTATTTTATATATATATAATAAATCATATTGTATGGAATTATAAGAAAAGCGGTGTATTGTCTCATTGTCGTTAGCTGATGCTGAAAAGAGAAGACTATTTGCGAAAATTGAACTCTAAATATTCTTGTCGGAAACCTAGTGTAAACACCGTATTTATCATAGATTAAGGTATATACCAGTAAAATGTAAAGCACGATATCGTTAAAAAATTATAATGTGCGAAAAGTGTTTGAAATTTCAAAGTAAAAAGTATTCTTCAACTGTTAATTCGATTTTCTCGGTAGGCCGTCAACTGCCATTTGTTTACACTCTGTGTATCATCTAGATCAGGGGTTCTCAAACTTTTGGTGTTGCGGAGCCCTTGAAAAGTTGAATATTATTCGCGGAGCCCCAAAATAAATGTTAAAATTGTTACTTTCAGATTAATATTCCTGGGCAAGTTGAAAGTACTTTACTTATTTAAAATGCTGAACCTTTTTTAATAGGATTAACACAAGCCATAAATGAATCTGAATTTCATACTAAAGCTGTAAATTTGACACTTGACGAACATATTAATAAATTAGGGGTCGAATCTTTTCTCTTTTGACATTTTTGGAAGACTTAACAGGCCGCTAATAACGTGCGCGATTTTATTTTGTTACAATCGCCGATTTTTTTCGTCAGCATGGCGTGTTTTGAACATCTTTACGCCGGTGTTTATTCTCCTTAAATCAAAAATTTCCCTCGGCATATACATGTATTGTTACACAATGACGACGTTAATTCCTTTTTTGTTCTCGTGGGAAATTATGAGTTCAATGTGAAAAACATGTCACCATATAATAGTCATCTGCGACGAAATGTTAAAAATTATAATTAATAAAGAGATAAATCCGCAACTCAAATTTCTTGATTGAAAAACGGCATTCTAAAATAATAAAACTGAAACTTAAAATGGAAGATCACACGTTTGGCTTCAGCAGACTCACCTTAGATTGAAAACGCTTTTATAGACATTGTAAATCACAAAATTTGGTGTTATGTTAGGTTTTCGTCGTAGTAACTGCGAAATCGAAACACAGTCAATTGGTCGCGCGATGTACCTTTTTTCCCATTCTGAAACTACCGACGAAGCCGCACGCAATCAATTGTGCACGCGATCCACGATGTACCTTTTTTCATTCTGAAACTACCGACGGAGCCGAATGCAATAAAATAAATTCTAATTGTTCGTATTTTGCCCAGACATTGTGATTTTTTAAACGGCGATATCCTGCTTAAAAATAATCTCAGGTGCGAAAGAACAAATCAAGTTTGACAAATCCCAAGATCGCGAAAATACGACTCCACTTTATTTATTGTTGGCAGTTTATTACATATTTTATGTTATTTTAGAATAGTATTCTTTCATTTGGGTAATACTAATACTAATCTCGAATCAAACTTGAGTAACGATGATCACAATTACATTATAACGAAGAGACACGTTGAATGCTCGCATCGGTCATGGATTGAAAATTTTACGCAACAGAAATCTCGTTATCCGTTTTTTTAATGGCGAAGAATGTTGCGCGGAAATTTCCGATTCCATTTTTGAACCACCTCCCTCTTAAGAATCCTGGCTGCGCTCCTGCTTATAAATAATGTCATTTTTAATTCAGCCTTTTTACCATATTTCGAGGCTGTATTGTTGTCAGATTTTATCAACGCTGTTATTGCTTCTTTCAACAGTTACAAAATTTTGAGTCAGTATTTCGAAGAGTAATCGAATAGCTCGCGGAGCCCCTGGGTTTCTCTCGCGGAGCCCTGGGGCTCCGTACGGAGCACTTTGAGAACCTATGATCTAGATTCTAGACCAGTGTTGCGCAGTTAATATTCTGATTGATCTAGTTACATAAAATATACTTGGTTACTGGGCCGGCGGCTCAAAACTCAATATGACAAACTATGAATAAAAAACAGTTTATTTACAATAGCTAGTCCAACAGCTAGGCTACCGTTTCTATAATAAGAAGCAGCACAATGTAATAATCGGGGTCATTATGAGGTGATTGTCATAGTCTTAAGAAGAACTATGGTCGTAATGTTGGGATACACAAGTGGCCCCGATGAAGCAATACGGCGAACAATGAAATTGCCCACCCCCAATATCGCCAGAAATTTTTATGCCGATTTGTTTTTTTCAATTTTCTTGAGTTGTGCAGTTATGTGGAATTCATTACTTCGTGGCTGGTCGCAATTATTTGGACCGCAATCCTACGCACAAATCACTATTTCCTGGCGAGTTATGAACGTCCCTCCTTTCCCATGGTTATTGTAGGTCTTGGTAGGCTATTTTATAATTCAGTGGCCACTCCTATACTCCTTAGTTACCTCAATTCTATGTGACCTTATTTTGAGCAAGTTCTTTTACAAAACCAATGCCAGCGCCAAATAAACCAAAATTTATCTAAAAATTGCTTTGGTGGTGAATAAATATTTAAAATGTATTTATATAAAACTATAAATCTTACCTGGTGGAAAGCTTTACTGCATATGGCGCATTTGTACTGCTTCTCAGAACTATGTGTTAACTTGTGATTTTTGTAATTTCCCTTCTGATGAAATCCTTTACCGCAAATGTCACATTTATACGGTCGAATTCCAGTGTGAATTCTCATGTGAGTGTTTAATGTTGAACTACGGTTGAATGCTTTGCCGCATATCTTACAGACGTGGGGCTTTTCCTGAACACAAAAATACAAAATGGCGATTTGTTGTTATGTCGGACATTTTGGGGGTTACCCGCGCGCACTCTCGCATTGTCAGGCGGTGTATTCAAACCTTTTCGGAACATGCCCGCCATTATCTTCATTATATATTTAATATCTTTATTTTTGTTGTGAAATCGCCCAATTTGGAACACGGGTAAAATAGCAGGTCTATTAATTTGCGGTATTCTTCTTACTCGTTATTAAGGTATATTACCGTTTTTAAGCAAAGTCTTCTTGCAAATATTCTTTGACTGAGTACTGGCACCATTTTTGTTCTCATTTTTCTAATACAATAATCACGCTGAATTCGTTTTATGCAAGAATTTTACAACTTACCTGGGTGTGAATTATTTTGTGTCGACACAATGTACTTGCTTGTCTAAAACCTTTTCCACATACTTTGCAAACAAATGGCCGAGCGCCAGTGTGGACTGGCATATGTCTTGTCAAATTGTATTGAGCTTTGAAGTATTTTCCACATATCTTTCAATAAATAAAATCAAATATGATAGTATTGCTTAAAAGTTTAATTTCAACGATAAGAAAAATTATCCTATCGCAAAATCATACTGTATTCATGTTACTGAAATATAATACTCTTATCAAGACTTATATATATATCGCTAATTATTTACATTAAATCTTCTAAAACTTCTCTAGCATTTAGTTTTTTGTTGTAGCCAGACTAGATTTTGCAAAGCAAATGTTTAGGCAATGTTATAGTCAAAATTACTTTTATTTTTAGTTTTTTGTTGTGGCTTCCATTGGAATATTTATTCAGTCATGCCGATGATACGTCTTGACCAAATCAAGATTTTTTATTAGAGGTCAATTTGTAGATTCAGATATTTATTTATTTTCACCGTGCAAGATCCAATGTCAAGCAATAAATGCACACAAAAATGAAAAAACTAAACTATATAATATAATAAACTAACGGGAACGTATTGATTCATAGCAATTGATAAGAAGTGAAGTCAGCGACACCTTAATTTAATCAGAAAATATAGCGAAGAAACAAGTTTTCAGAAAAAAATTACCTAATTTAACTAACGGGAACGTATTGATTCATAGCAATTAATAAGGAGTGAAGTCAGCGACACCTTAATTTAATCAGAAAATATAGCAAAGAAACAAGTTTTCAGAAAAAAATTAACCAAAAAACACAATCATGAAGAGAACAACAATTAGTGATAGAAACTGAAGGAATATTGTAGTGTTGTATCTAGTGCCAGAACCAATTTAAATTCTTACCTTGCATGAAAATGAGTCTGGTTTTGCACTGTCATCTTCAGACGTCGATGTTCTAGCATTGAATATCGATGAATTCAGCATCATCGAATTTTGGGTTTTCGTTTGATTCTCTGAATGCAGAGATTGTTTGTTATTGCTTCCCCACGACTCTGTTGAAGTTGCTTTGCCTTCACGAGAATTTATTATGTTAATTTCTGTTGAAAGTTTCCTCATTTTTAAAAACTGATGTCTTGTGGAATCTGGCTCCGTAGTTACATAAGTCGGTGTTGGAGGTTGAGATTTGATGACATCTTGATAAAGTACAGTGCGATGTGGAGTATGTGAAAATGTTTCATCCTGTTGCGAGTAACTTCGTTTTAAACTGCTATTGCCGAACTTTGCAAATGGGGTTCCGCTGTACATTGGAGAACATGCCATGGGTGGAGGAATATTTTGAATATGAGGTCCTTTTCCATAAAGATACATTTGTTTCAAAACATTACTGAAAGTTTCTGTGTTAAATTTCGTTGAACAGGAACATAGACTATCTTGACAAACAAGACTACTAGCCTGAACGCCCCTGTGCACCGTGGCTGCCGACCAATAGGATGATAGAAACGCATTTCTCCAGAGAGATGCTTGAGATGGAAACATGCCATGGTAACCAAAATATGGTGAGCCTTGAGCATGCGGGCTTTGCAAAGCTGGTTGTCGGGGAAATATCGAATTATTTGGGACGTGTTTTAAAAGTTTGTACATATTTTCATCTCCATTCCACCCCAGTGGTGGGTATATTGAAGAAAGACCCGGGAGTAGTTTTCTGCTGCTCATGAAATCCGTATTCTGTAGAAGAGAAGAAGAAGATGCTGCACCGTAGTAGTACGACAAATCATTCGGAAGTCTATTTAAAGACAAACTAGAATACATTTTCAAATCTGTACTGGCCATTTCGACAAGATCAAAGCACAATTTTGAAAGTACGAACTAAATTTCTGCAAATAATTGAAACAAAAAATATATGTCATGTCCACCAATGTAAATTCAAATAGTTTGATAAAAGCACACCACATAAGTACAAAAAATTTCTAAGATGATATAAACGAACGAAAACGACGTTAGAGTACCATAAACGTCTACTTCAACTTTCACAATAACTACCGTGTTTTAACTAACTACAATGTCTTATATTCATTTTCTTTCGAAAAATAACACTAGGGATTAAAAAAAAATCTAAGTAGAGAATTATGAGATTTTTAAATAAACAAAATGCGAAAACCGATATTCATTTACTTATAAATACCACGCTTTTATTTAAACTAATTGCTAAACATAGATTATCAATCATTTAATTAAAACGTCTAGGAGGAAAAAAAATTTGTCTTATTTTAAGGGGAGAGCTTATATTAAAATCATTCTTGAAATTCAGGCTAGGTCTTATTTTCAGGGAAACACGGTAGCACATTCATCTACTGCATAGACTGAATAAAGCTATGATGTCTACTAACCTCCCTTGCCCTATCTCACATGTAATATAAAGAAAATGTTAGCTACAGCGGGTTTTAAAGTCGGCAAAACGTAACTTCTGACTTTTTCTGTACTATGGTTGCGTAACATAAACAAAACCGAAAGTTCGGAATGTCGTAGTAGATAGCTTTAGGAAAAAATAAATCATATATTTTCATTATGTGCTAAAAACCGCAAAATTACTTGAACCGTTGCGAGTCATATGTCAGACGGCAGTCGATAAAAATGGTATATTTGATTTAGGATTTGCTTTGGCTAAAACTTGGCAAAAAAACCGTGGAATCTGTATTTGTTTTATTTGATTTATCCCTTTTGTCACCCTTGTACGGACAGAAACTTCGCACAAATTTTATGTATTAGTGGATGGCGTGCAAGCGCACCAAAGTGGGCGATAGATAATATCTTTCTGCCCACCCATTTAATATCTAAGTATACAAAAGCTTTCGATTTGATCACAAAATCCATTTGTAAACTCTTGTAATGGTGTCAAAATGATTGCTTATTGTTATCGAATGTTGTATAAAGTGGTCGTCGTTCATATTATCTGATTTAAACCGGTACACTATTGAAACATTTTCTTTGTTATCATGGGCTATGAGCAATTATGGCTCCGAGTTATTTAAATATATAAAGTAAAATCAGTAAGTGAATCCGGATAATAGTTTTATGCAAAGGAAATTTGACAAGACAATATTTTCAAAAAATTGTATATATGTAATAAAAAATACATTAAATGTATAATTGTGATAATTTTAATAATTGGATATCTACAATATAACTGCGTTTCTTCATTATATTATTAATAAATAGGATAAACACAATTTACTATATTTTTCTCAGTTGCAAAGGAAATATTTTATCCATATTTGTTAGATTTTTCGGCGTCATTTTATGCGACCCCTATTAGCCGAGGAAATGACCTTGTCATTATAGGCGTCATATTTGTAAACAATTAAACATAATAAGTATTAAAAGTATCATGGTACTCTCAAGCCAAATACAAATAAAAACAAAAAATTCAGTCCTAAATTTTACAATATTGTTAAAAAACAATTAATGAGATATATCGTAAGAGTCGAAATTGAATGCTTCAAAAATGAATGGAATTATGAAATCCGACCCTCTCTGTTAACGTCATTATATTAACATTTTACCGCCTCCAAATAACTGCCCCTGCCCCTGTAGGCTACATTCTATTTCCGGAATCGTCGAATTGTGATGTCACTACAGTATGAAACTTCAACAAAATAAGACACCTCAACGTAAGTGTTTCAATAAATATTGACCGAGTCAAAGTTCCAATCAACGATCCCTCATGGATACATGGCGTTCATTAATCGTTTCAACTTGCTATAAAATGTCTGAATGAATTAAATATTCATAGAGTTTGATAGTCACGGATATAACGCGATTGTAATCGACTACAAATGGCTGTGATATATCGCGTGATAATGTTCAGATGTCAAGATTTCGATGTGGGAGGCCGAAGGTACGCTGCCTGATCTGACAGAGATTCGTAAACAAAGATTGGTAAATCCGTTCCAGCAGAAGAGTGGTTTAGTGCTGAACTTTTTATGTTTTCTTTTGTATGACAACATAATCACGAAGTTGCCATAGTGACGTTTGTCTGGTCGTGCAAACTAGATAATAACCAGTTAAGACGACTTACGACCGTAAAATTCAATTTCGTTTTAAAAATAATTATGCTCCAACAGAAATGAGTCGTAGTATTTCTTGCGCACAAAACTAAATCTATATGGGTACTAATGCCGAAAATCAGAGATAATTTCAAGATAACGGAAAATCTCACTTTTCTTTTTGCGTGCATTTGCTTATCGCCATTTTTCTAGTGTGTAATTGGGATAAAAATACAAAGCTTACAAAATGGCCATCATTATTTTTTGAGTATCTTTCATGGATAACCGATGGAATAAACTCCGTCGTTTCCCGTTTGAACATAGTGGGTTTATGAGTTTATTGCAACATTTGTTTTCAGAAAACTCCATTTCATATTATAAGCAAACTATTGCGTAAACACACATATATTGAACATATTACTCGAATATTTACCAAAATATGCCGTGCGGGAACATTAATTCTTAGATTCAAACAACTAATTCGTATAAAAATTGCTGAACAAAAAGAAGATTTATGTTTTAACCGCGCGATCATCTTTGGCGCCTGACAGGTCCACTACCGGCCCCGACACGCGCGAGATCGCGTGTGAACTGTACGATTCGCGGGGAGCTTATCCTCTCCTGGGCGGGCAAAATCCAAAAGTGACACCCGGCGACGACGGTCTGCACAATAGCGGGATAAACAAGAGTGATTTGTAGGGATTGTCAACGTCAACAATGGAAAGTGATTTGAAGCATTTTGACTTCCCACCCTCCTCATGGCGCGTTTCCATTTTAATTGTGCACGGTTCATATATAAACCCAATATTTAAAGATCAATTTAACCAGGTTACAAGGTTGATAAGAATAAGAGATACCGAAGTAGGATTTATTTACCCAAATTAAATAACATATACGATGACAAAAAGAGGGGGCGTATGTACTTAACCGTAAGTAGGGGATGTGTGTATATTAACTCCGAGACCCCACCTTTAGAACTAAAAGAGAAACATTAAAAATTGTATGAATTTTAGACAATTTAATACCCAATTAATCCATGACTCTTGCTGTAATTATGAAACTAATTTTTGCTTTCTGTTTTGTTCAGGACAGTCGTGAGTGAAGTTTTTTTATAACATTCTAGCGTACTAACTGTTTTACAACAACGCCACTAAAACTTCAAATATTAAACACATCATTTATCATTGAGTGAATAAAAATGTTGGCCCTTCTAAATTGTATTTGTACGCATGCACGCAGGCTCTATAGCAGAGATGGGCAAGGTTTTTGGATCGGGGGCCAAAAATTTTGCCCACTCAGACTGGCGGGCCATGTAAGTGTGACGTAAAAAGTTGCATTTTCTGAACAACTTTTACAGTGTTACAAAAGCAAAATTGGAAAACAATCAACCTTGTTCCATACCTAAATTTAATCACAATCCCAACAATATCCATGAGCTATTTTTAACTAAAACATCAAAATTTAATTTCAGTTGGTTGTGGCAGCATCAGGCGGGCCAGATTGAATTACCTAACGGGAGGGATTTGGCCCGCGGGCCATGGTTTGCCTATGTCTGCTTCATAGCGATAAGCATATATATGAATCTAATTTTGATTATGCGATTGTTGAAAATGTCCCGAATGATTAGTGACGCGCAGCATATGATTATTTATGGTTCATCGTACGGCACCTGTTGTATTCTGCCTGGGTGGTCTCTTTGAGCTCAGTAATTCAGGCTCAGTATATTTATGTATTTGTTAATCGGGTCTTAATCCTATTTTAATCTTGTTTTGAGAAATTTGAACGGGAAAGTGCGAAGTGCGCGTTTGAAAAACCGTTTACCATGTTCGATAAGCGATTCTTAAATGCTGTTATTATGCTATTATATATGGCCTGTGATTAACAGTATATATACTTACAGTCAAACTTTTGGTGGCCTTGAAAAATAAATGTCCACACACAAAATCACACCTGCGTATGGTACACTGTGTTTTTACCATTGTCATTTGATTGACAAATATGTGCATGTACCACAACATTGATGTAACAACAACGCAAAGGTGTTTTCACACCTGCTAACTGTCGCATTTTAGAAACGATTTTTGTAAAATTAGTCTTCGCGAGAGTATTTCGTGATTTAATTCGTTGCTAGGGACTTGTAACTACATCAAGGTGAAAATAATAAGATTCATTGATAGATTGTCCAAACTCGACTAAATAGGTTGATTTGAGTTATAGCGACGAAGCTTCTGATTGTCGCGTACCTAGGCAAGGGTCCCGATTGTGACAAAACCACACAGGTCGGCATTCTTTATACTGGGACAAATTGGGGTAAAATTGTTACATGAACTAATAAATTTTATTTGAAGTAGTATTTGACCACAGTAAGAAGTTCGCTAATTGCTGCTAAATAACATCAGCCGCATTCCTAATGTAACATTAACTGCTGATGAAATAACAGCATTATACAATTGGTACAGAAATGCATTTAGATTGTTAATGGGTCTAATTTATAATTCAACTAAACTACCTTTTCAGCTTATTAATTTGTTATGTAGTATTCATCTTCTTGCTTCTCACCCAATTACCAATCTGTGTTTGCAACTTTGTACCTAAATTATAGCCAGACGATAATTCACTTTGGCGGATTTGAATGGAACAATGCAGAAAGTACATATCAGATTAATTAGTTATTCAACATTCGAATATAAATATACCCAATTCCATTTCAACAATAACATTTTTAAAATATGGCGTCTTTAAAGCAAAGGTAAAGGCCATATTTTCTTTGGTACGAAACTCTATTAT